CCTGCCTGCACAGCGGGGCCCCGGGAGCACACTCGGGGAGAACTGGGACGCCCCCCCCCCTCTCCCGCTCGGGGGATGTCAAGGCCGCCCGCCTCGGCCTGCCTCGGGCCTGCTTCGGGCCTGCCTCGGGCCTGCATAGGCAGGACACCTGCCGCGACCCCGCGGGCACGGGGCGCGCTTTCGATGGGGGGGCCTCGCGCGGAACGCAGCCGTGCAGCCGCGTGTTCGCGGGATCGCGCCCCGAAACTCCCGACCGCGAGGGTGCGGACCCGGACCTGCTGGCCGCTCGTGGACAGGCAGAGCCGGCGGCTGCCGCTGCAGTGGTCTCCTCGGGCCCGACGGAGCTGGTCGGCGGAGGCCACGCGGCACGGGCGCCCGCCCAGACCGTGGAGGTCCGGGGAGGGCGAAGTCTGCGAACGGGTCCAGAGGACAGGCAAGCAGAGAGAGTAGCTCTTCGAGGTCCGACTGGACCCCCGAACGCTCATGCTCATGAACTTCCCTTCGTGCTCGAAGCACGGGAGAAGGAACCGACAAGAGGGGTGTAGATGAGCTTCGTGCGCTTGCCTGGTATCTGCTGGCATCGATTGCGAGGGGGTGCTCGAGATTAAGGAAGGGTCAGGTCAGCGAGTCTTCTGGACAATTAAGCTTGGTCCCTTACGACGAAGCGGTGTTGACAAATCAAGTTTGACGCACTTGGTGCCACCTGAACTCTAAACCCTAATTCAAAACGACCATTCACCCTGCCAATATCATTGCCAGGTGAATTGCCCAATCCAACCTAGACGTCGAATCGAAAGTCACAGTACTTCTCCCGACCATCCTGTGGTGTTTGGTCCTCGTTTTGAAGAGGCAACGCCCCGCGTTCCTCTCCTCCTGCCCCTCCTCCCTCCTCCCACCTTTGCCTCTGCCCACTTCATGCCTTCTTCATCAGCATCATCATCATCACCATCCGCATCACCATTCAAAAAAATCTGCCCGTCCTCTGCATGTCCTCATCGTCGTCCTCATCATCATTATCAACGTCGCCCTCATCCACCTCACCCTCCATCATCACTATCCGCATCAGCATACTCATCAGCATCATCAGCATCATCATCGTCATCATCATCATCGCCATGACCGCCGTCATCGTCTCCAGCATCACCGTCGTCGTCATCATCAGCATGATCATCGTCAGCATCGCCATCATCGTCATCGGCTTCAGCTTCGGCACATCACTCCCAGCGGCTGCGCCCGGCAACACTCGTTGTGAAACCGCTGGAGAACCCCCCTCACGCGTTTCGTGGCCCCATACGGAGCTCCACCGAAGGCCCCAATGGCGACGTTCGCACGCGTCCCCCCCGCCCATCCCGGCATACCCCTTACGCTTTTATTTGCCTCATAGGAAGCTTCACAGTGGCGACGTTCGCATTGCGGCCCCGCTCCATTTCGGCACACTCCTACCACGTTTTGAGGCCCCATAAGGGGTGGTATACCTAAGGCCTCAGCAGAAGTGCCAGCACGTTGGCCCCGCCTCATTTCCCATTTCGGCACACCCTCGGCACACTTCGTGGCCCAATAAAAAGATCAACCGAAGCCGGTACCCACAACGGCGTTACTCAGACCTGCATATGGTTGGGTCCTTCGACAAAATAATTCCAAAATTTCTGACTCATCTCAAGCAGAAGCTCCTGCTTCGTCACCGTGAGCGCTGTGAAATCACGAATGTCCTCGCGGTACATCGATGCCTCCACATGGGAATACTGCGGCAATGTCACGGATGATATAGCACAACATGCAAACGCGGCAGCGGGCGCTGATAACAAGCAGGAGAAAAAGAAGGACAGCAAATCACCACATCACCAGTACTTGCAAACAGCATGTCCTGGTGTTCATACGCTGACAACTGATGAGGCCGATCCTCGTTATCGTCGTCCTTGGCATCGTGAATCAAGCATGCCCATCGCGGCATCTACTAGCCGAGATTGTCAGCATGGTGACTGAAGGGTGATACAATCTGCTCCTGCGCGGACTTCGATCAAGGAGACTCGACGGGGTAATGTGAAAGGACTTGCGGAAGGAACCTGACGGGGTACGACGGCAAGCTAGAGGAAGAGAGAGAGAGAGAGAGACAGAGAACGAGAGAGAGAGAGGGGGAGTGATAGAGAGAGAAAGAGAGATAGAGAGGAACATGAATAACAATGATACTTTGAAAATATACAGATACGGAGAGAGACGAATTGAGAAAGAAAAAGAGACAAAGATAACGAGAGAAAGAGAGAAATCAACAAAAAAAGACACGATATAGAGAGAGGGGAATTGAGTGGGAAAGGAAGGGAAATGGAAAGAGAGAGAGAGAGAGAGAAAGAGGAACGTAGGGAGAGAGACGGGACATCAGGAGCCACGCAACTGACTGGCACACATCAGAATTAGTCCTGACGGTAGCCACTATGAGTTTATCGGCCCTAGGCCGCTTCAAGGCCCCGAGGTACCGAGGGGGGGCGGGCGAATCGCGATGACTGCCGCAGGATCGCCGCCCGACACCCCCCAAGAGCGAGCGAGCGAGGCGCCAACCCAGGCTCGTGCGGCGAAGCGCGTGTGTTCCCAGTTGTGCAAGGCGCGCGAGGCCGTATCCACTCGAACCCTGTTGGAGGCCTGGAAATGGGCACCAACACCAACACAGGAGGTTGCCTCCACAGGGGTGAGATGATCCTAGATTTGGGTGTTGGTGGTAACAGTTCGGCCACTTAGAGAGCCCGAGCATTACCACCAATCACCGAGATCGGGAGCACCTGCCCTCGGTGAAGGCACACTGCCGATCTTGGTGTTGGTGTCAACCTCTGGGCCTCCGGCCCTGCAAAACTCTGATTCACACGAAGATCTTCATGGTCCGACCGGAAGCTGGGAATCGGGATGCTGCGGCGTGTCCGGAGCTGGACTTCCGCGACCGGATGGCGGCTGGAGGTCGAAACGGCTGGGTCGAAGGCAGAGAGTCGAGGCGCAAGCGTGTGAGGCGGGAGGTCGATGGCCCAGGGCTCGAGGAGAAGGCCGACTGCCGGAGGCCAGAGGTCGGAGGACCGGGGTGGCGGGCGGAATCCGGAGGCTGGGGGCGAGGAGGGCGAGGAGGAGCCCCGAGCAACGGAGGTCGCGGCGGAGACGGCGGCGGCGGCGGCCCATGCTTCGCCCGGGCGCCGCCATCGAGGTGCCAGCCCCGGGCAGCCCCTGGTGGGCCCAATGCCGCGGGGCACGCGGAGGGGCCGCGCCCAGCAGGGAGTCATGCAATATTGCGAGTATCAGGGCTGGGCCTAGACGTTGCTTTTCGTTTTGTTGTCGTTCTGTTGTTCGTTTTGCTCTGCCTGTTTTCCTGTGCCTCCCTGCCAAAAACTAACAACAAAACACAGCCGAAGTCAAGGAAAAGAGCGTTTAGGTCCAGCCCTGGTGAGAATGCCGTCTCAGGGGCTCTGGCAAGCGAAGCACATCCATGAGGAACAATCCTGGAGACCCCGCGCGGTAACGAGGGACCAACTGCACGCCGGAATCATGTCAGAGCAACGTCGAATTCATGTCGGACTTACGTCGGAGTTACGTCGGACCATCGCCGCGCGAACGTCGTCCCATATCTGACGGGGCCAACGTGTGGACAAGATAACACAACAATTGCACGCCGCGCGAGGCCTCCAGGATGTTGCTCATAGCGTCTCAGGGGGGTCCTACCAGCGAAGAACATGGAAAGGAGGAGAGAGGGAGGGATGGGGGGAGGGAGAGAGGGAGGAGACAAGTAGGGAGGAGTGGCAGGAGGGGGGAGGGAGGGAGGAGGGGAGGGGAGGGGAGGAAGGAGGAAGGAGGGAGGAGGAGGGAGAAGGACGAGGAGGGAGGAGGGAGGAGGACGAGGGAGGACGAGGAGGGAGGGCGGGCGGGAGGAGCAGGGGGGCAGCGGGAGAGGCGCCTCGTCGCCGCGCAGGGCTCTCGAGGCCTCTGCCCTCTCCGCGCGGCTCGCTCCCCGGGGGTGGCTGCGAGGTGCCGCCCGTGGCAGGGCCCGGAGGGCCCCGGAGAGAGCCCCAAAGGCAGCCCCGAGGAGGGCCCCCCGGGAGAGGGCGAGCACGAGGCGAAGATCCGAGCCCTCCGCCCCGAGAGGCCCCCGGGAGGCCCAAGGGAGGCCCCAAGAAGCCCCCGCGAGGCCCCAGGAGGCCCCCACGAGCTTAAAGACAGCCCCGAGAAGGGCCCGGGGAGGCGAGCACAAGGCGAAAATCCGAGCCTTCCGCCCCAAAAGGCCCCCGGGAGGCCCAAAGGAGGCCCCATGCTTCCCAAGGGGCCCCAGGAGGCCCCCCACGAGGCCCCAAAACGGCACCAAAGAGGCTTGAGAACGGTCCCCCAAACTACGACATCCCAGCGAACAGCCCAGAGGGCTATGACCCACAACCCAGGCACGGTGGCGGGATGGGCCGAAGGCCATTACAGTCAACCCGTATCATGAGGATGCGCGATAAGGATGCAAGGGCCTTGGAGGCCCATGTGAACTTTTCTCGAACGAGGTTGGCCAGCGAAAGTCGCTAAGAATGGGCCGAAGGGGCAAGGATGCAAGGTTGACCCTGAGAAAGTCGCTCATCCGTACTATTCGGCCTGACCGTAAGGGCACAAATAATGGCATGGGTCTCGGGTCCACGCTGGAGCCCTCCCTGGCAGCGACTGCCGCAGTGCCCCTGGCCGAAGAAAAAAGCTCGACGGAGGTGGCCATGGGTTCCGGATAATGCTTCGGAGTCATGGGACTGCCTGGTCATGGGGTCATCTTCTCGCAGCGGCGCCCCCCCTCCCCCGTCCAACGCTGCATCGAGACCTCCGGAGCGGCAGCGTCCCCACCACAAGCCAACTTTGGCTTCGAGTAGGGGATCGACTACAGAATTGAGACTAGGGAAGATCGAATGAATCTCACCCATCGAATATACGACGACTGCGTAGACATGCCGCAAATCTACTCAGAGCTCTAAGTACTTTCCGCCGAATCGACGAGACAATTTAGTTGGGGGCCCATCAATTCTGCAATCGATCCCCTACTCGACGGATTGGGGAGGGGGAGCTGCGGAATCGATCCGTGAAGTCTTGAGGACTGCAGGCGGGTGGCAGGGACAGCGAGGGAGGTGCCCCCGAGACGGCACCCGTGAAGGTACACACGCGGTCCGCCCCCGGAGGCGCCGCCGAGGAGAGGGAGGCCCACCAGGTCAGTACGCGGAGCCGTAGTCGCCGGGGTACTGCGGGGAGGCGGAGCCCCGGCGCCCTCTCCCTCAGCCTCGGTTCCCCGTAGCTCTCTTCCTCTCGCTTCCCCCCCCCCCACTCCTCCTCCTCCTCCTCCTCCTCCTCCTCCTCCTCCTCCTCCTCCCTCCTCTCCTCCTCATTATCTTTCTCCTCCTCCCCCTTTTTTCTCCCCCGTCCTCCAACCACTCCCCCCTCCCCCCTCCCCCCCCCCCCCTCCCTCCCCCTCTCCCTCCCTCCCCTCCCCTCCCTCCCTCCCTCCCTCCCCCTCCCTCCCTCCGCCTCAGCACCATCATCATCACCAGCATCATTCTCACCATCATCAGCATCAGTATCGCCGTAACCATCACCGCCAGCATCATCATCATCATCATCATCATCATCATCATCATCATCAGCATCATCATCATCATCGTCATCATCATCATCATCATCATCAGCATCATCATCAGCATCATCATCATCACCATCACCATCATCATCATCATCATCATCAGCAGCATCATCATCATCAGCTGCATCATCATCATCATTATTAGCATCACCATCATCATCATCATCATCATCATCATCATCAGCATCATCATCATCAGCTGCATCATCATCATCATCATTAGCATCACCATCATTATCAGCATCATCATCATACTCACCAACATCACCATGCTTACCAGCACCATCAACAATTATAGCACCCTGATCACAATGACAATCACCGTCATCATGTTCATCCGCATCATCATCATCATCATCAGCAACATCATCATCATAGTTATCAACATCACCATCACCATGATCATCATCGTCGTCGTCATCATGATCATAACCGCTATCATCATCAACATCATCATCACCGTCATGATCATCATCACGATCAGCTTCGTCAGCAACTCCACTATCATCATCATCAACATCACCACCCTCATCACAATCACCATCACCTCTGCCACCTCATCATCATAATCATAATCATCACCATCACCATCACCATCACCATCATCATTATCATCATCGTTAGTATCATGATCGTCGAAATCACTATCACCTGCATGATCAGAATGACAATCATCACCCGCATCACCATCATAACCAACATCGTCAACATTATCATCCTTAGAATTAGACTCACCATTATCGTCCTCATCAGCACCATACTCGTAATTACTTCCATCACCATCACCAGCATCGTCATCATCATAATCATCATCATCACCATCTTCATCATAGTCATCGTCATCACCATCATCACCACCATTATCATCATCAACATCGCCATCACCATCATGATCATCACCATCCGAAATCATCACGCCATCACCATCTTCATCACCACCATCATCAGCACCATCATCACAACCATCAACAACCTGAGTCTTCGCCGCCCGCCGACCTGGCTGTCCCGCCGGCTCTACGGGGGCCTCTCACCGCCCGGCTATTCCTGAGCTCCGCTGCAAACCTGGGCTACCTCTTGTTGAGGCCGGTGCTAGGGGTGTGGCTCGGGCAGAGGCGGGTGGCGCCACGACGCGCGTGCCACTTCCGCCACCGCGTGCCCGAGCCCGCGCTCTGCCTGGTGTCCTTCTCCTCCACCTCCTGCCCCTTCCACTCCTGCCCCTCACCCTCCCACTCCTGCTCCTCCCCCCTCCTCCCCCCCTTCCTTTTCCAAGGGCACGGTCGCAACATAACTCGGACGCTATTCGGCGCCTCTGGGGCCCTCTGGGGTCACATGTTGTTGACACTTGCGGAATCCAGAACATCTCAACAACAAAAAGCAACGACATTCAAGGTGGTTGACTGATTGAGGCGATTTGGGCGTCCTCTCGGGGTCCGCGTGTACTCTCTTGGTGCCCCCGTGGAATGCCGTTGCAGCCTTTTGAGCTCCTGGGGCCTCTCAAGCTCTTGGGGGCCCCATCCAAAACCTCCGACGTCATGATTTGTTCATATCGGGAGCGGCCAAGAGGGGGGCGTCCAAGAGGGGGGGTGCAAATCATGACCGGCGGCATGTGCGCGGCCCAGCGGGGAGGCCAGGGACGTAACAAAATAAGACGAGGCGGCATGAAATCTGGGGAAATATCATGGCCCCCGCCATGATATCCACCCCCCCCTAGTCATCACCCCCCTCTTTGCCGCCCCCGATCATATGGGCGTCGGCCCCCCAAAGTCTCGACCCACTCCCCGGGGCCAGCTCCGCATCCCGAGCCGGGGCCCTCAAGCTCTTGGGAGCCGCCTTCGTGGCGAAGGAAGACCGCCGAAGTGGGCCTGTCTTCGGCCAGGGCCGTCGAGGACCATCCTGGGCCATCCGGCTGTTGGGCAGGCGGCTTTTCGCCTTCAAAGAGCATCGTCCGCGGCGGCGCGGACAGCGAGTCCTGTTCAAATGCGCAGGAGCTGCTGTTGGGCATCGCACCGGTTCTTTCCGTACCCAAGGAGTGAAGGAATTACAGATTTTGCGACTGCGTCAGTTCCTTACGGGCTGACATGGAACGGGGATCATTCCGCAGGTGCGAGTCAAATCCCTCTGGCCTGCGAGCAGCAGCCCCGGACCCAGACCGAAGGGAAAACGAATCTGCGATCGTCGCTCCCGGCCGCCTTCGCGTTGCCAGGGCGGCGGGCGCGTGTCAGGCCCAGAAGCTGGCCTTCTCAGCTTGGCTGTGAGCCTCAGGCCAGATCCGCCGTTCAATATTCTTGAGATAGTATTGACGACTACTCACCGGTCGGGAAGAACTAGGTCAAAAACATGAAGTAGAAAGGCGTTGAAAGTAGATTGGGTACCGTCCGCCCCCACAGGAGGACGGAAAAGGTGAAGCCGTTCGATCATTGGAGTAGGAAGGCGCGGATGGTAGATTGGAATATGGGAATCCAGGAAGGCCCCCTCTCCACGACCGATGGGTACCGTCGGCTCGAAGCAGGCACGGCTTTCCGAGCTGTGGCAGCTGCTGTGCGCGGAGGCCCCGCGTGCGCGCGGGGGCGGTCCCGCGCCAGCCGCGGCCCGAGCAGCCGCCCCTCCTTGCGGGCCAAGTAGGCCTCGTCCTGGCAGGCCGGGGGGGGGGCCCGAGGCTGATTGGCGGCCCGACGCCCGAGGGAGGGGAGAAGGCGTGAGGCTGCTTCTTAGAAGGCACTGGCCTTACATCTGTAAAGCAGGCCCGCGCCTTCCGAGAAGCGGGGGTGCTTCCAAGAAGCCCTCCCCCCTCCCCAATTACAACATATGCATACTACTCTCCTCTCTCCCCCGGTGACGCCATGCTGTGCCATGCTGCGCGTTGACTTTCAACACCATGCTGTGCCATGTAATGCTGTGCCATGTTGCGACATCCGATTCTGCGAATCGAGACGACATCTGCGCCGTGGCGAGCGCATGGGAGGGCGGGGGCAGCACGTCGGGCACGGCACGAGCACACCGTTGGCTCGCCCTGCCCCCCCCTCTGCGCGTGGCCGAGCCGAGGCCGAGGGGCCCGGTGGGCGGCGCCCGCTCCGCGGCCCCGCGCCATCGGCCGCCCCCGCAGGGCGAACCGGGAGGGCGAAGCGGGAGTCGCCTCGCCTCGCCCTCGCCCTGGCGTCAGGTCGGGCATGTCCTCCTATATACAGGCAGGTTCTGGATGGCAAAGAATTTGTTTTTAAAAAAGTGCTCCAGATCAGCAGGAAAAATGGGAACATCGTCCCCGGGCTATTTTTGATAGCCTATCTTTGAGTGTCCCTCCTGCAGAGGGGCCTGCCCGACTTGATACTAGATGGGGTCCGAGCAGATGGGGTCGAAGGATCGCGCCGCATCGCTGATGCATCGGCGATGCATCGGCGGTGCTGCGGAGAAACACCAGCGCGGAGGAAAGCGGGCCCCACGTCGAGTCGGATGGGCGATGCATCGGCGATGCGGCGCGATCCTCTGACCCCATCTGCTCGGACACCCCACCTGGGAGGCCTGGACTCCCGCGCCTCGAGCAGTGCCCCTGTGCGACCTCCCCAGACCCCCGGCCTCATGCTTTTTGTCAGCGCGTCGACCCCCGGAGGCCTGGACCCGTTCCCTGGGACCGGCCTTCCGTCCCCGAACCCTCTCCTGACGCTCCCAGAGGCCCCGGTGAGGGCCCCCAGGAGGCCGAAAGTATAGCGGAAAGCCTCCCGTCGCGCGCATGCTGCGCGACCCCGAGGGGGCCTGGGGGCCTTCCGCGCCACGAGCAGTGCCCCGGCCGCGGCGCGCCGGGCCTCGCCCCGGCGGGTGCGGGGCACGCCCTGAGGCCGCGCCTGTGGCCCGAGGCCGCGCCCGTGGCGTCCCCTAAGGGGGGCGGCTTGCAGAGGGGCCCGCAGGCGGTGGCGCCCGGCGCCGGAGGTCGAGCAGGGGATTCGCCTGCGGAGTTGGCCTGCAGAGGAGGCCAAGTGCACAGGGAGCCTGCCACAAGAAACCGAGGCAGGATCGCGTCGTGAAAAATCCATCTGGGCGGCAGGTTGTTCACTAGCTTCGGCCCTCGGGGGGCCCTCGCCGGGCCCCGCGACCGTCAAAAAACGACTCAGGATGAAAATCTGGCCCTGGGAAGGGGTCTGGACTTCCGGGGACGCCGTCCTGAACAAGATCAGGACGTCGCATGTCTGGGAACCTTCCCCAAGAAGCCCAACCCTGGGACCCCAGGACGTGCCTGGCTGTTGGGTGTGGGAGCGTCACGCTTTCCATGGCAGAGGCATCGAAACCCAAGAAGCCCATGGCACCCTGGAGGCAAGCAGGGTGTTTCTTGGCATGGATCTCCACTGTACCCCCGAAATCGATTTCCCCGTCGAACCTACGAAAATAACGTAGAGCGTCGCGTAAATCTACGAACCTTCTGCGCATGTGTCGTAGACTCGGTGAGGAAGCAATTCTGGGGGCAATCAATTCTGCAGTCGATCCCCGGCTCGAAAAATCAGATTCAGATGCGGGGGGCAAAAGGGTACTTACCAAAACCGCAACTCACTGGACCTCTCCCAGGGTGAGTTCTGACCAGGATTTCGATGCGAATCTAACGGTGGCCAGAAGTGTCAACCCCACGAGGCCCAAAAAGGGGACAGCGCGGGACGGGTAGCGGTATGTGTACTCTTTCCTGCACTGAAGCGTGTGGTTGTGTCGCTGTGCGTCCCCCTGTGCGAGTCCTCCTCCAACGGTGGCCAGAACGGTCCCCCCCACGAGGCCCAGAAAGGGGAAACATAGGGACCCAGACTTGCAGGTTTTCTCAGGGCGGCGTCCCGGGAAGTCCAGACCCTTTCCCTGGGGCCAGTTTTTCATCCTGAGTCGTTCTTTGACGGTCCCGCGGCCCTGCGAGGGGCCCCCGAGGCCGAAATTTGCCAAAAACCTCCCGTCCTGACTGTTCTACGACGCGATCGTGTCTGGGGACGGGTAGAGGTACCTTCTCTGGCACTGAAGCCTGCGGTTATGTCGCTGTGCGTCCTCCTGCGCGGGACACGCGCGAGTCCTCCCAGGGGCGGGCAGCGAGGCGCGAAGAAGCACGAAAGAGACTCCGCGCGCTCGCGCAGCCCCTCCTGGGGGAGGAGAGGAGGACGAGGACGATGAGGAGGAGGACGATGAGGAGCGCGTTTCTTTATTTTCTGCAATAATGGGCATCATAGGGTGGGGCCAGCGGGGAGGTATACTTTAACGCCTCCCCCCCGCGGTGCGCGCGGCGGCAGTGCCCAGAGCGCGCTGGGGGGGAGGGGCGTTACGTTGTAGGGGAAGGGGGTAGGAGGGGGGGGGGGGCCGGGGGCTATCATGCCCATTGTGCCCCGAGCACACTCCTCAACGAACGCCCCCACCGCACCCAGACATCCGGCCGCTCCGATTTTTTGGGGGCGCGGGTTCCCGAGGTCTGGGCCGCTTTCCCAGTCAGGAGTTAGGGCCAATTCTTCGCCCTGACTCGTTTCTGACGGTCCCGAGGCCCGGCGAGGGCCCCCGGAGGCCGACAATCACCAAAATCCTGCCGCCCAAAGTTTTTGGAGCGTCGGATCTCTGGGTAATCTGGTCGGGCGAACGCAAGCAAGGCCGGTCAGCACCACATCGGAACATCGGGTCGCATCGGAACGTGCGCCAGATCGGGCCGCATCGGCACGGCGTCGACATCATATCGGATCGGCTGCGCCAGGATGCACAAAAGCGCCATGCGTCACCCGCATCGGTCCGCCCGGAAATCAAAATCGAATCAGATCGGGCCGGCCAGAGCCGGTATCGAAGCAGATCGATCGGATCGAAGTGGACCCTGAAAGGGAGGGGTGGTCAAGGGGGGTTTCGCGAATCTGCTGACGCAGCTGGCACTCCTGGAGCCTCCTGGCGATGGATGCGCCAATGTATCGAGGACAGCGCCTGGCGGCGACGCCGAAACCAGCTGCATGCAGCAGATCTCGTGTCCCCTCCCCCTTTTGCCTCCCCCCTTCGTCCCACCCGAAAAAACAGCAAGGCTCTGGGCTCGAGGTCGCTCTGGGATTCCTCCTTACTGCTTCTGAAAGTCCAAGAGGTCGATAAGCCAGCGACAGTTACCAGCACGTCCCAGACATGCAGTGCCCTGACTTTTTCGGTCCGCGGTCCCCGAAGTCCCGACCCCTTTCCCCAGGGCCGCTGTCTCGTCCCGAATCGTTCGCTGACGGTCCAGGGGCCCGGCGAGAGTCCCGGGTTCCGGCCACAACCCTCCCGTCCTGAGTTCTGTGAGGCCGCGAGCATCTCTGGGGTGCGTCCTGGTGCTCGCCCGACTGCGCTCACAGTCGTGTCCAACGCCTGCAGGGCAGAGGCCCCCTCCAGACGCTGGCAATCCCCAGACCGCGCCCAGAGCCTCCCATCCGGCCAGCACACACCACCTCCGACCCGAGCGGATGGGCGAACACAGGACTGGCCAGCGACACAGGAGGAAGACGACGGCGACGACGACGACGACAATCACGAAGACGACGACGACGACGAGGGCGACGACGATGACGATGACGATGACGACGACGACAACGACGATGACGACGACGACGACGACGACGACGACGACGACGACGACGACGACGACGACGACGACGGGCCACCCGAGAGCCACCCCAGCGAAGCAACCCAGCCCGCTAATCAACCCCGCCCTAGCCTTTTACGGTCAGCGGCCCCTGCGTCCCGCCTCCCTGGCCTCCCAGCCTCTGCGTCCCGCCTGCATGGCCAGTGAGCTCTCATGGGCAGCGCGTCTGAACGGGCTGGTGGGCATACGCGGAGCGTGAAGACTTTCTCCCCGCTCTCGTGTGGGCCCTGGGGCCCTCCACGGGCCATGGGCCCGTCAGAAAAACTGCTCCGGAAGGGTCCCGGGGAAGACCCTGGGGTCCAGGACGCGGTTCCCTCAGGACGCCTTCATGGCGACCTGAGACCATGGATGAGTATCCCTGACGCCGGCAGCAAGAGCACGCCTGCGCGGCGTGCAGCATCGTGATATCCCGGCGCTTCTGGCTGCGCTGCCTGTTGTAGGACTCCTGGCCCCCTCCACTTGAGCAACTTCCTTCGCATCTTTCAACTCGATTCCCTGTTTCTGCTGCGCGTCCCTTGCTTCTGAATTCAACGTCTACGAATCGCGACTCGACTCACCGACACAATTCGCCTCTTCGCACGCGTCTGCTTGCCTGCCTGGTCGTGCACTCCCCCCTCCTCCTGATCATCCTCATCAGGGTTCCATTCACGCTCCTCACAATGCCTGTGTATTTCTCCTCCCCTCCTCCTCCTCCTCCGCCTCCTCCGCCTCCTCCGCCTCCGCCGCCTCCTCCTCCTCCTCCGCCTCCTCCTCCTCCTCCTCCTCCTCCGCCCCCCGGGCGGCCCGAGAAGGCCACGAAGCCCCGCCTCGGACGAGCGGCTTCCCAGACCTCCCCGCGCTGCGAGATAATCACGACGGGAGGTTTTTCCTTCTTTTCTGCCTCTGGGGGCCCTCGCCGGGCCTCGGGGCCGTCAGGAAGTGACTCAGGACGAGATGCCGGTTCAGGGGAAGGGGTGCAGACCTCTGGGGGTCGACGCTGTGAAAAGATCACGACGTCGGGGGTCTGGGGTCAGCAGGCGCACGAAGCTGACTACCTACAAGACCACCCCAACCCGACCCGAAGACCCGATTTTGGGTTTGGGGTGGCACGGGCTTCATGTGTCCTTTGTGCCATGTTCCCCGACCCCCCCCCACACACAGCACTGGGAGTGGAGGGCACACGGGGGAAGTGGGAGTGGAGGGCACACGGGGGAAGTGGGGATGGGTGGTGGGAAGCCGCCCGCGATGCGGCGGACGCGGTACAGGGGGCCGAGCGCCCCGCGACTCGGTTCCACCGCCCAACCTTGCTGCCCCGCCCGCCCGCCCCGCCCAGCGGTCGCCGGGCGCCCCTGCCGCCAGTTAGCCCCCCAGTCAGTCGCAGCCTCCTCGATCCTGGCCTCCCCGCAGCTTGGCGCGCACTGGCAGGGCGCCTGCGAGCACAGGCCCCCCAAAACGCACGATCGGTATCGCCACTCCCCGGAGACTCCCGCGTCACACTGGTCTTTCTTTGATTGGCACATGCCCGTAATACCGCCCGTTTCGACGACCTGGCCGCGCCGCCAGGCCCTCGGGCCCGGCCTCGCGCCTCAGCTCTCGGGAGGGGGGGGGGCCTGGGCAGCGACCGCTGCGCGCCAAGGGGGGGACACAGCGGTCTCCAGGGGCCCGCATGCACGGCACGGGCAGGAACTTCGGCGCCAGGCCGTCCCCGTCCGTCGCAGCCGCCTCGATCCTGGCCTCCCCGCGGCTTGGCGCGCCCCGCCGGCCCCTGCACACTGCGCACGCCGCGGGCGCTGAGCCCCCCCCACACCGCCTCCTCCACCTCCTCCACCTCCCCCTCCTCCTCCACCACCTCCTCCTCCACTTTCTCCTCCACCTCCTCCTCCTCCTCCTCCTCCTCCTCCTCCTCCTCCTCCTTCACCACCTCCCTGTCCTCCTGTGCCTCCTTCTCCTCCTTCGCCACGTCCTTCTCCTGTTCCTCCTCCGCCTCCTCCTCCTCTTCCTCCTCCTCCTCCTCCTCCTACTCCTCCTCCTCCTCCTGCTCCTCCTCCTCCTCCCCCTTCTCCCTCCCCCCAGCCAGGGCGATCACGAAGCCGAGAACCAGGAAGAGGGAGATGCAAGCCTGCCCGCGGGGGCAGAGGGCGCACGGGAGTTCAGAGGGGTCACGAGCGGGCGTGGAGAGGATCGAGCTCCGCATCGAGCCGCATCGCCGATGCATCGCAGAAGCATCGCCGCTCCGACCCCTTCCAGGCGGCCTGGACTCCTGGCCGCCCCTGACAGCCGCTCCTGGCTGGCGTCACAGCCGAGGACGAGCAGAAGACGGCCCTCGGCGAGCACCGAGGCGCACGGCTCACTGGGCAGAGCCAGGGCCCCGAGCGTCGCGCACAGCGGCGCACGACCACTGCGGGGGGGGGCCGCGGGACAGCAGCCAGGGTCCGGTGGGACGCACAGAGACATACTGGTACAGCATGCCCTCCTTGGAGGCGCGCGTCCGACCCGAACAGATAGTATACCCATCTTGTAGTGTATCGCTTCCCGAGCGGTGTGGCCAGAAAGCGTCCGCCACGACGCATTTACTGTAAGAGTTCTCCGTGCGCGCGGCGCCCCTGGGGGGGGGGGCGACGCACATATAGTATTAGTATGTTGGGGTGACGTCGAGCTGGTGACGCCTTGGCGGGGCGGCTCTCTGGAGCTGGCGATGCCTCCGAGACGGTACCCAGGGGGTGTTCAGCGAGGCACTGCTCGCTGGGCAGAGCCGCCGAGGAGGAACGGCGCAAAGAGAAAGAGAGAGAGAGAGAGAGAGAGACCGAGAGACCGAGAGACCGAGAGGGACAAATCCACCAGCAGTCCGTTCAGATCGAGTGTCGAACGATGGGCCCAGCCAGGAAGGATGAAGGACGTGGGGTCAGGATGAGAGACGAGGAGGCGGAGGCAAAGAGGGCGGAAAGAGGGCGGACAGAGGGAATGTGGGAAGAGACCTAAGTTAGATGGGCCAGGAACAGTAGGGATAGGGCGTCTTGCCTGCAGATGTATTAGACCAAGCCGCCAAGATGTATTATCCCTAATGCCAAGACGGGGACCTCAGTGAGGCCACGTCTTCATCGTGTTTGTAGGGTTAGGGGTTCTTTCTCGATGACAGAAGGGAAGAGCGAGCAGGAGCAGGAACACATGAAGAGGAAACGCGAGCAGCCACTTCGGCAGAGGCGGGAGGATGTTCAAGAGGGAGGTGCGGCGGCGGGGGCTCGACCAGCACGAACACCCAGTGCTGGAGATCCGCCGCCACTCGGTGGTCCACCGCGTAGATGGGGCCCGAGCCTTCCGAGCGGGAGTGGACTTTGATAGGTGGAGGGGGCCTCCTTCTCGTCGTCCTCCTCCTCCTCCTCCTTCTCCTCCTCCTCCTCCTCCTCCTCCTCCTCCTCCTCCTCCTCCTCCTCCTCCTCCTCCTCCTCCTCCTCCTCCTCCTCCTCCTCCTCCACTTTCTCCTCCTCCTCCTCCTCCTCCTCCTCCTCCTCATCATCCCCCTTCTCCTCCTGCTCCTCATCCTCCTTTTCTTCCTCCTTCCTCCTCCTCGTCCTCCAAATCCTCTTCCTCCTTTTCCTCCTCCTCCTTCTCCTCGTCCTCCCCCTCCTTTTCCTCCTCCTCCTCCTCCTGTACTCCACGGGATCTGCTTCGGAGGTTTTCCACGGCAGAAACTCGGGGACCATTCAGTTGGTAAAGGCGTTGGTAGATGAGCGTGGCTGTCTATCTCCTTGTCCCAGGCTGGCCAAGGCAAGCTTGTCTGCTCTGACGGCCAGGTGGCGTATGCCCTGCATGCTTCTTCTAGGAGGGCGAGCTGGGCTTCTATCCGACATAGGCAGGTCTAGGCGACAGGCGCATGTGAAGTCGGCTCGACGTGCTCACAAGCGCAGGGTATGCATGATCCACCTCGAGTCGAAGTCCGGGAATTTCCAGCAACATGAGAAACAGATCGCGCTCCACGCCAACACGTTCGGGTCCCATCCCTGGATTGCTCTATAGGTCGGAGGTCCATGGGATATCAGACGGGGAACCGCATCAGATCCGACAACAAGCGGGATCTGCTATGTGGCCCAGCTGTAGGGAATCTCTCACGAGCCTGCTCAGCATCGAGAATGCGCCGGCGTGGCTGGCGGCGGTGTGATGACCTAGTCTGCGTTATGCCAATGAGCTGTGGAGCACGCACGTGAGAGCGTATCGTTGGTCTGTTTCCTTTGCTGAGCTCCGCCAGGCTTGGCAGCTTTTCGGAGCTGCTCCAGGACCCAATTCCTGGAAGCATAGGGACCGTTTTCAGCGATGTGGTTGTCATTACGGCACATTGGTTGGAAACTCCTGGATTGGGTCCGCTTGGAAACCGATGGTGGAGACAAGATAGTACTGACGGAGGTGAGCCCAAGCTTGCTGAAATCCCGTTTGAAGCTGGCAGTCCTTCGCACGTTGGAGAGAAGAGCCGCCCGACGGTCCCAGTTGGAGTGCCCTCGGCTGTGATACGATGTGGTGAAAGCATGCTTGAGCTTCTCTCGTCACACGCCCAGTGGTAAGACAGCCATTCGCACAATTGGGTGCGATGCTAGCTGGACCTTGATGCGAGCACGGTGTCTTGGCTATGAGGGGGAGTCCGTTGCTTGCCCATTGTGTGACAGCGGGGCCGACACACTCTTTATCGTATTTGGCCGTGCCCCTTGTGTCGAGGAGGAGAGAGTGAAGGCCAGGCAGCTTTTTCAAGCAGATGGACCCTGACAACCCACAGGAGTTGCTGCTTCTGACGAGGGGCATCTTCCCCCAGCCTGGCGATTACTGTCCCAGGCCCGACACCTCAGGCAAGGTATGCTGGCAGTGGGAGGGGGAGGTGATGCAACAGGAGGAGGAGGAGCAGAGGATCGAAAGGGGGCTTTTCCTCGACGACAGCTGTTCGACATGTGATCCCAGAATGAAACAAAAATGGCTGGGGTGTTTCAATGTATGATGTCAACCGTAAGCTCCTAGGGAAAGGGTTCGGGACCGTGTATAGCGGGATCGGCCATGCCCCCCGGGCTGGTGAGGTTTCGGCCTACGGCCGTTTGGGACAATCCCTCCAGGGCCCATGTAATGTGCACTCTGGCTGGTTCAACGTGTGTGCTCAGGCTCAGAGACCCCTGGGTGAGCAGATGAGTTATCAGCGGTCCTACGCTGGGCCCCTGTGTTTGATTTCCCTGTGCGTGCTAAGAGTTTGTCTGTGCAGAAATCAGGGCTCACCTTCCTCTGAAAGAGGAAGATGTGCCGCCCGATTGATGGTTTCTTCGCCGTGGGAACTTCCAGGCCGACCAGGCGACCAGGGCGGGCTCACGACTACATCCCACGGCGGAGCCGAGTCAAGAAGAGGTTCCCGACAATACGATCAAGATTGCACGCGCGGTGTGCAGGCTGACAGCTAGTCTCTTGTTCAAGTGGCCGCGCTTGCAGCTGTCAGAGGTCACGTGGACCAGGCCCGCCAGACCTCAAGCCGAGGCAATGGCCTCGAAGCGTCACGATTGGGAATTCAGTCGTGGCCGCTGGCGTTGTGGCAAATGGTTGAAGACCTCTCGGTCTCAGCTCCGCCGTCCCCTGGATCCTGCCCTGGGGACCGTCTGGAGTTTGATGGTGTAGAGATGGAACGCCTGGGAAAGTTTGTGGTCGGGCTGTCGGTTTCTGACGGCACGACGCTTTCCTCTGTACACACTGCGCATCACTCGTCGGTACGGGCTCGGTCAAGAAGTCCAACCTGCTTGCGAAGTGTGTGGATTTCAAAGAGTCCACAGAAACAGAGTCTGTAGAAGAAAATGTTGAGAGGTTTATACCCTAAGGAGGGGTCCTCATTGAATGTGGACACCTGACGGGGTTGCTGACATTTCATAATTGTCAAGTTTTCCGCTGAAGGCAGTTGTCGATCTTGAAACTCATCCTCCTCCTCCTCTACCTCCTCCTACTCCTCCTCCTGCTCCTCCTCCTCTTCCCTCCTCCTCCTCCTCCCCCCTTCCCCCCTCCCTCCCTCCCTCCCTCCCTCCATCCCTCCTCCTTGCTCCCTCCCTCCCTCCCTCCCTCCTCCTCCTCCTGCTCCTCCTCCTCCTCCTGCTCCTCCTCCTCCTTTAAGAGGTGGAGGAAACCTCCTCCTCCTCCTCCTCCTCCTCTTCGACGGCGATGGCGGTGATGCTGGTGTAGGCGCTAGCGCTTGGGTTTCCAAGTGAGGCGGCTGACGAAGGCGGAAGGAGGGGGGAGGAAGGAGGGAGGAATGAGGAGTGAGGACGAGGGATGAGAGGAGAAGGATGAGAAGGCTCGAAAAAGATCACGAAAGGTCACAGAGCAGGACAGGGCACTCGTAAAAAGGAGGCCCGTCCTGCCCACGCTTAGCTCCCCGAGGGCCATGGAGAACTCAGAAGCATCTGATGCCAGCGCGTGGAAAGCGCGAAGCACGGGTCCGGTGGGAGGGGAAGCCATAGGAACCAGTAGGAACTCGAGCGGCCACCACAGAGTGCGGCACGCGGGTCCCAGCGGAAGTGAGAGCCACAGGACCTCGACCACATGAACCTCAAACATTGCTGAAGCCGCCCTCAATGCCACCTCCCCCCCCCCTCACTGTCGGGTCAAGCCGAGTCGCGCTCCGTGCGTGGGCGACTCGGCAGATCCACTGTGCCTGGCATTGAAGAGGAGGGTCCATCAAGCATGTCGCGCTCGATGCCATCCATCCAGGCGGGCACGCGCATACGTGGCTCCAAGAAAAGTTCCCTTGGAAAGTCTCACGGGGAAAGATTCGCAAGAGCGCACATTCTCCTCCTCTCTCCTCCTCTCTCCTCCTCTCTCCTCCTCTCTCCTCCTCTCTCCTCCCTCGCCCCTTCTCCTTTCCAGGCGGCAATGAGATGACCCCGAACCCCCCGTATGATCCCGACACGGCCTCTTGATAGTCTCAGGTTGGCTATACGGTGACCCAGCTGATGAGCAGTGGGCGATCCCGAAATGGCCCGATAGCCAGATGATGGAACTAGGCACGCCGAAGGCGACTCCAAAAAGACCCAGCGAACATCACGTGATCCAAACATGACCAGACGTGCTCTCAAAATGACCGGACGACGATGCCAAAATACGCCCAGCACCGTTCGCAAGTAGACAAGACGGCTCTGCGACCTGCATACCATGTCAAGCTGATCCCAAGATGGCCCAACATGGCGTCAAGAGGTCCTGACGCGGGCTCCTCGGCGACCAAATGATCCCAACGCAGCAGGAGTCCTGCAACGGCCCAAGATTCTGGTTTACCCCATTGTTAGAGGGTTGGGTTTACGTGCCGGGACATTTGAACGACCGGGATCTTGGGTCGACCATCTTTTCATAGGTGGGATCTTGACGTGGCTGACCTATATTTATGATATTTGAAGGGGCTAGGCTCGGCGGGATCACGCCCGGCCCACGCAGGAAGATTGGCGAGGTAGGCTTCTACGGGGACACGGGGTGCTCGGCAGGCGCAGCGTTGCTTCCCTCAACTTCCGCCGCCCTCGTTTTGCTTCCGCCGCCTTCCACGCGGCGAGCACCGTCATGCAATGCAAGGAGCTTTCACTGGGCCGATGTAGGCAAGCTACGCCGCGCTCTTGCTAAGATAGTAAGGCTGTCGTCTGAGAGGCCACCTCTAATCAAGCGACCATGGGAAAGTGCGGCACACGGATCCAGCCTTTCAAAGAACCCATAAGAATCCCTCGGTGCACACAATCCTTTGGAACCAAACGAGAAACACTTCAGAACAGCCTTGGGGGAGGCGGCGGGTGGGGAAGACTCCAAGAGTACGGGGGGAGCAGATGGAGGGGGGAAGATGAGAGGGAGAGGGATCCGTCTTGTGCTCCCCCCGCGAGGGCCGAGCTCGCCAGCGGTCGGAGGAGGGCTCCACGGCCTGCGCACCCTCACCGCCCTTCCTGGAGCGAGGATGCCGAAGTCCCGGAGCGGCCGCTGCCCCATCACCACCCCGCCCCGCAGGCGGGGAGGGGGATGCCTCGCTCGAAGCGGCTGCGCCGCCCTTCGCGCCGTCCTGCCCACCACTGAAGCCCGACGCTGCAGGACCCTTCGGACGAGGACAGGCGTGCTGTGGCATAACGACCACAGCACCACAGCAGTGACAGCAGTGATAGCACGACGTAATCTCGATCGCGGGGGTGGGGGGCTCCCCCCTCGTTCGAGGCCAGCGTGCTATGGCACACCGAGCATCGCAGTGGCAGCACGACGTCGCCTCGATCGCGGGGGGGATCCCCAGCTGGGGCACCTGTCTGCTCATCGCCCGACGCCTGGATCACCACCCCCACCCCCTTGCCCCCATGCCTACTCCAGGGGCTGAGCGCCGCCCGCCCTCCGTGACGCGGACCGGCGCAGCTCGGCCGGCAAAACCCTCGGAGAGCGACGCCCTCGGAGAGCAGCGCCCTCGGGGCGCCTGGCGGGGCCATCCTCGCAGCCCTCGGAGAACAGCACCCTCCGACGGCAGCGAGGACCCGGAGCCGCGCGGGCCAACGGAATCCGAGGCGGGTCCCCGAAAGACTATGTTTGTATGGTTTGCCTCTGCGAGAGAAGGGGGAGAGGAGGAGCAGCGGTGCGATGTGGGAGAATCTCCGACTCCACGCAGCGGCGCACTGCGGCTCGCAGGCTTAGCCTGTCCAGCGCGGCGACGCAGGCCTTCTGGTGGTTGCTGCAGCTATGACCGATGACAGAGTTCTTGGTGCCAAGGTTGATGCACGGGGACGCTGGAGATACACTAAGGCCGGGAGTCGCTGCAAACAGAACGGTGAGAGGGAACATCGCGCCCGCGTGGACCCGCGCAAACGTAACAACAAAAACAGGGGGGGCCGAAGCCCCGAACGCAAACAAAACCAAGCCCTTCTGGCCCCGGGAAGCCCCCCAGCCGGCCCGGCGACAGCGTCTGGCTGAGAGACGCAGGTGCGCGACGCCGGCGGGGGGGGGCCGACCCAGAGCAGCAAGGTCAGCGGGCGCAGGCGAGCCCCAGGCGCACGCGCCAGCGCCGGGGTCGGCGCCACGGGCGGCACACGCCCGGAACGGATTGCAGCACAGGGAGCGGAGGAGGGCGCGGGAAGGGCGCAAAGGAGGCGGGAGCCCGGGCTGGCCCCGAAGCATGAGAGCACGGACGCATCGGACTCTATCCCTGCGGGGCCTCCGTTCGGACCCACGGCGGTGGACGGTGGACAGGTGGCCCGCGGTGCGTCGCGCCGCGCGGGCGCTTTTCGCGGGCGGGGGGGCCGGAGCGCCGAAAGTATCAGTGCTGCACGCGAGCATTATGCAAGAATCACTGCACCGACCTTGCAGACGTGTTGCAGCGAATTTTTTGCGTGGATTTCTGTCAATGCAAAACCCCGACACGACGAGTGAAAAACGAAGTGAATTTCACGTGGATTTCTCAGTCATTATTTCTGGCCCAAAAGATCCGCACGAAATTTACTTCGAAATCCGGAACGAAATTCTCCAGGACACTCCAGGCCAATTCTATTGTTCTCCGAACGAAATCCGCTCTGCGATGAAGGATGGGGGAGATGCAAGGTGAGAGACGATCAGAAACGGGTCTTGCGCGAGGTGGCATAGCGACCTTACGCGGTGGCTGACGCGGGCCGCCAGCGCGACTGGGTGCGCTGGAAGCGAGGGTGTTTATACGCGTGACCTTACTCGGGCAACTTACGCGCCAATGCCAGTGAAGACGAACCCGTTTTCTTCCGTCGCTCAGGTGGAAGCAGACAACGACGGTAAGCAAGGAACAAGGAACCCTGCAATACGCAGAGAACCTATGGTACAAATATGGCCGCTCGGATGCTGAGTTCGGGAGGTCCATCTTGCTCGAAGTTGAGTTGATGAGTTCGTCGATTCGAGCCATCGTTTTCATTTCGAAGTGATTCAACGACTCCAATGCATCCTCGGTGGACTCCTCCTTGTCTACCGTGCCCTCTTCGCGGTGCTGTGTGTCGAGCTCGGCGTCGTCCTCGCCCGAACCTAACGTGTCAACCCGGCCCACCTCATCGAAGCTCAACTCTTCCTGCACTCCTCGCGGGAATCATATTCTGCATTCTCGCTGTCGAAGCCCGGGCTCTGTGCCATGCCTTGAGGGTGCCTGTTCTCTGGACACGCTTCCAGATCCGGCTCAGAGGGTCGGGGGTGTTCGGACCGACGAGAAGAAGCAAACGGCTGCCCGAAAGCGAACTCAACAGAAAGCGCTGGCATGGCCCACGGGGGGCGGCGCTCGGCAGAAAAAACAACACACAAATCACCCCCCCAAAAAGGGGGTCCCCCTCCGCATCCCCCTCCGCATCCTCCTCCTCCTCCTCCTCCTCCTCCACCTCCGCATCCTCCTCCTCCTGCTCAACCGCGTCCTCCGCCTCCTCCTGCACCTGCTCCTCATCCCCCTCCTCCTCTTTGTCGTCCTCGTCGTCGTCTTCAGGGTCAGTGGCACCGGCCGCAAGGCCTTCACACTAATCTTAACAAAAAAAACGCGACTCGAACCAAACCAAACAAAGCTTCGTCCGCGGCCGCGGGCCGCCTGCCCGATGCCGCAGGCCAGCAAGCACACAAGAAGGCTGGCGCACAGGCACAAACGGAAACGGCGCTCCCTGGGGCGCCAACAGAGACGCTGAGCCTGGCGCGGCATCGAGAACGCCCCGCTCGATGCCAAAAACGACAGGACATCGGGAGCTGGCCCATTGCAATCCAAACACAAAGCTGCTGGGGCAACACTGGGGCGCGCCGGCCTGGGACGAAGGGCATGGGTCACGGGGCATGCCCCATGGGCCACGGAGCGTGGAGCACAGGGCACGCATGCCTCATGGTGTATGGGGCTTGCGGCTTCCCCCATGGGGCATGGGACACGGGGCATGGTCATGTGGTATGTCCCATGAGGCATGGGTATTCCATACCCCATGGGCCCTAAGAAATAAAACACAGGCGGATGAGTTCTGAGAGAGGTTGCACGGCCCTTCCTCAAGTCTGGCGTGGCCCCAAGCAAGGCAGAGCATGGAACACGACCTGGCCCGGCCCGCACGTGCCTCCAACTTCCCCGCAGTGTGAGAAGGACGAGGCGCGAAGAGCGGGGAGGTGGAGGAGGAGACAAGACGGAGGAGGCAGACGGGGGACGCGGAGAGAGACGGAGGAAAGCGAGGCGGAGGCCGAGGAGGACGGAGGCGGGCGACGGAGGAAGCCCGCGCGCCTGAGCGCACGATGTCCGTGAGCCACCAGGCGCCGCACCCCCCGAGCGTCAGCAGCTTGGCGACGCCCCAGGCGGGGAAGCCCTGGCGCCCAGCACGCGCCGGCCGCCCTCGCGACTCGCGGCTGCCCGCCCACCTCGTGCCCCCTCCCCGTAAACGAGTCTCGAGCCGATCCCCAGCCTCGAGATCGACGAGCCCAGACGCAGTGGTGGTCTTGGGGGTGCGCCCTCAGGAATCGAGGGAACTCATGGGCCAGCTCTCCACCACCACTACCATGGGACGAGGGGGGGATGGGGAGGTCCTCCTCCTCCTCCTCCTCCACCCTCCCTCCCTCCCTTCCTTCCTCCCTCCCTCCCTCCCTCCCTTCCTCTTCCTTCTCCTCCTCCTCCTCCTCTTCCTCCTCCCCCTCCTCCTCCTCCTCCTCCTCCTCTTCCTCCTCCTCCTCCTCCTTCTCCTCCCTCTCCTGCCTATGATAGTGGTGGTGGAAATCGGCCCAGCAGAGATCCTCGCGACCGGCGCCCGAGGCATGGCGATGCCACTCGTGGGGCTACGGGGTATGCTTCGGGCTGCGGCCTGCGCCCCCCTCCCCACGCGCCGCTCCCGGGATAAAGCCCAGGAGCAGCATGAGACGGGAAGCTCGGGCAGCTGCTTGGAAGCCTGGGAGGCCCCAAGAGAATCGACGGGGAGGGAGAGGGGAAGCGAGGCACGCGGGCGGGCGGAGGGCAGCGGGCGGGCGGATCGGGATTTTGATAAAACTCCCAAGGGTTATCTCTTGCAGCGGGATGCTGTTGAATACCGGGTGTTGTGTTGGAGACGGGGGCAGCTGAGTATTGGGTGCTGTATTGGAGACGGACGCTGTTGAGGACTGGGTGTTGCCTTGAACGCGGAAGCACGGCGAACGGGCGACGGGGGACGGGCGGCGGGCGGGTGCCGAGGAGAAGGCCCTCGCAGAAGGCAGGGGGGGCTTCTCAGAGGCCCTCTCGCCTTCTCAGAAGTTTGGCCGTGTCTTCGGGGAAGGCGCAGAACACTTCTCGAGAGGCCAGGGGACTCCCCAGCCTTCTGAGAAAGGCCTTCTGCTCTCATCGCTTCCCCCTTCGCTCACTGCCGAGAGGAGCTCCCAAAATCGGGCGCGGCCTAACCAACCCCTAGCAGACCTTCCCCTCCGTGACGCCATCCTCGCCTCTCCTAGCTTCCCTCCTGCCGCGTACATGCGTCTTGGGGCGAGGGGGACCTCACGGAAGGGGATGGTTTGCTAGGGGTCGGTTAGGCCGCCCCTGAGAAGACGGCCTGGGATACTCCCAGGAGAGGAAGGGCGATTGGCAGTCAGCTGCATCTGGAATGAAAGAACTACAAATAGAGGGAACGCAAGTGGGTAAACAAACGTCGTGGGCATACGCGAGTATCAAGTCGGCTACGGCTACACGACGACACCTGCATCCAGCAAGTGCACCAGATCAGATCAGACTAGCCGGTGTACTGAAGGTGGCGGCCTCTCCCCCACCCCGCCCTCGTCCCCCCCCGAGACAAACTCGCGTGGGGGCAAATGCACAAGGGGCATTTTCTGGCCGAGATCAGGTTGCCATTGCAGTAGGAGCTCGACCACAAGAAACCTTCCACAAGAAACCAAACCCTGAGACCCCTGGACGTCCATTGGTTTTTGGTGTGGGAGCGTCACGCTTCCCATAGCAAAACCTTCGAAACCCAAGAAACCCAGGGCACCTTGGAGGCAATAGAGGCCTCCTAGATGGGGTCGAAGTAGATGCGGTCAGAGGACCGCGCCGCATCGCCGATACATCGGCGATGCAATGGCGATGCATCGGCGATACACCGGCGATGCATCGCCAATGTGGGCGATGCGTCGGTGACGTCGCCGTGAAGCAAATCGGGCTCCACATCGAGCCGCATCGGGCGATGCATCGGCGATGGGGCGCGATCCTCCGACCCCATCCACTCCGACCCCATCTGGGAGGCCTAGACAAACCATCGAAACCCAAGAAACCCAGGGCACCCTGGAGGCGAGCAGGGTGCTTCTTGGCATGGGTATCCACTGTGCTGGGCTCTGGGAGCGTCACAAAACAACGCGGGATGCGAAGCTGGGCCCGGGAAGATGCCCAGACCTCCGATGTTCGACTTCCTGCGAAGACAGGCAGCAACAGAAGCTACGTCAGAGGCCTGCCCCGCCCCCCCCTGCACACAAAAGCACGAACACACACACACACACACACACACACTCTCGCTCTCTCACACACACACACACTAAAAACTCACACCTGACACCCCCTCCCTCACAAATATCCACCTTCCCTCCCCTCGCTACTCATGCTCCCAGACGCTCCCCAGACTCTCGCGAAGGGAGATCTACATGGGGCCCCGATGGGGGTGCGTGCTCAACAGCAGTTCGGCTATGGGCTTACAGCGCACGTGCCAATGAGAAACAGAGCCTTGTAATCTCGCCACGCAACGGCAGTCCAAGGCTGCCCTCGACTGGGTCTGGTAACACGCCTGGAAATCGGCCAGGGACTCCGCAATTCCGTGTCGGGGCAGCGGACGATTCACGTGGGAACCTACAGCTTCAACGTTTCAACTTTTCCCTGGGGTGATACCTACCCTGACGGCCCTCAGTTTGCTTTGTCAGGGCAGATCGCGTCCAGGCTGACAGCAACCTGTTGGTTCTCGCAGCACACACACACACACAGCGGACAAGCCCGTCATCAGGGTCAAGGACCGCAGCAGAGCATCGCAACCAGGTCGGAATGTGCTGGGGGGTGTTCCACACGTGCTTCTCTAAGAGATCATCTTCCTCCTCGTCCTCCGTCTCATCCTCATCTTCCTCATCATCTCCTCCTCCTCCTGATCATCATCATTTTCCTTCTCATCCTCCCCATCCTCCTCCCTCTATTCACGCTTCCCCTTCCCTCCCCCGTCCCCTCCTCCTGCCCGCTCATGCGGGGTGATGACGAGGAGCGGGCGTGTTTGGATGGGAGGGTAACCAACGCTGATCCCAGACCCCCGACGTCGAATTTTTCCGCAGCGTGGACACTCCGAAGTCTCGAAACCCCTGCCCAGGGACTGGCTTTGTTGTCCCATCCTCCTTCTCCTCCTCTTCCTCTTTGACGTTAACCCAAGCTTGACGCGATTGAATGCAGGAAACAACCGCCGACTCAGCGAAGCGTAGAACACAGTAGAACACATGAACCTGGCGGGCGCAGTGGCCGAAGAGAGGCAACAGAAGGACAGAAGAAAGAAGAGTGCCTCAGAGCATGCGCGCGCCAGGCAGTCAGACACAGCTACGGTGGGGGCATTGGATAAGGAACCCATGGATGAGGAACCCAGGGCCTCGAAGCCGGTGGAACTTCGATCGTGGAGTGGCCATGGATATCACCGCCGCCCTTACGAACTAAGGAACCTTCCAGGGCCTGAGGCCCCCTGGGCACACTCCTCCACGAACGCCCCCACCGCACCCTCCTCCTCCTCCCCCCTCCCCCCCCCCCCCTCCTGCCGGGCCCCCCCCCTCCGCCCGAACGCGCGCCTCCGGCCTCTGGCAGCCTCCCGCAGGCGCCCTCCCCGCGCGCCCTGCCGGCGGGCGCGGCCCACCGGCGTGCGCGGGCCGAGGAGCCCGGAGGGCCCCGACCGCATCGCGTCGGGAGGAAGCACGCTCTCCCCGAGTCGCAGGGGCGGCTGCTCGCAAAGGGCCACGATCCGCCGCGGGGACTTCCGATCCATGGCGCAGAGGAAGACGCTTTGCGAGCACACGCCAGTCGGAAGGAGCGGGCACTTGCGAGCACACGCCGGTCGAATGCTTGCGAGCGGGCACTTTGCGAGCCCACGCCGATCGGAAGAAGTGGGTAGAGACATGAAGTAGGAACGCGCAGAATGTAGATTGGGCTTCCGCCCGCCCCCTGAAGAGGAGGGAAGAGGTGAAGCCACTCGATCCTTGAAGTAGGAAGGCGCCTAAAGTAGATTGGCACCTGGGAGTCCAAAAGTATATACTTTCAACGACCGATGGGTAGCCCCCCGAGATGGGGTCGGATGAGCTCGCCGCATTGCCGATGCATCGGCGATGCATCGCCAATGCATCGACGATGCGTGAGCGACGACGACGATGCAGCGGCGACGTCCGCGTGGAGAAGATCGGGCTCCACAGCGAGCCGCATCGCCGATGCATCGGCGATGCGGCGCGATCCTCTGACCCCTTCTACCCGGACCCCACCTGGAAGACCTTGATCTTGGCAGCTTCTGGTGCTCGAGGGCCCTGACCGGGCCCCGGGGCCGTCAGGGAACGGCTCAGGGTGAAAAGTCGGCCCCGCGGGGGGAGGGGGTCCTTGCACCTCCTACGAAAATCGGCGTCGCGAGCAAAGGCCCGACGTCAGGGCCCAAGGGGAGGGAGACGAGACGAGACCCCCCCTGCTGGCACCGCGGTGCGGCCCTCGAAGAGCACGCGGGAGGGGCCGCAGCCCTGAGAGGCTCAGAGCTGCTTACACGTGATGTTACCCCAGAGCGAATGCACGTCGGTCGTGAGAAGCAGGTCAAAGCATGGGGTAGGAAGGCGGATACATTAGATTGGGTTCAGGCCATCCCAGAGAAACAAAAAAACACGCAGCAAGTGCAGATCGACGCTTGAAGTAGGACGGCGCTAGAAGTAGATCGGGATCTGGGAATCCAGAAGTGCCTACTTTCAATGACCGACGCGCACCATGCTCAGCCAGGGCAGCACGACATGCCACACGCAATGGCTTTGTGCTGTTGCCATGCCACGCAATGTGCGATATATTGCCTTGAAAAAAAACGCAGCAACAGAGAGCCTGGTTTGCGAAGCGGGTCGCAGGTACCATTACGAAGTGCATCGCGAACCCATCCCCCCAAACCACTCGTACGGGGGGGAGGGGGCGGGGGGGGGCGGCAGGCGGGGAGGAGCAGGAGCCGCCCCCGCCCGCCAGGTAGAAGTAGTCGAGGCCGAGGAAGCCGCCGAAGAGGGACAGGAAGAATGTGATCGCCTGCCCAGAGCGGAGGCGGCGCCACCCGTCCGACGGGCCCTTCCTCCCTCCTCTCGCCTCCTCGCTCTTCCCTGATCATCATCTCTCCTCCCTCCTCCCTCCCCCTCCCCCATCTCATCCCCCTCCCCCTCCTCCTCGTCTCCCTCCCCCTCCTCCTCCTCCTCCTCCTCCTCCCTCTCCTCCTCCACCTCCTCCATTCCTCCGTTCCTCCACTTCTTTTCCTGTGAAGTAGCCCCTTCCTGCCGCACCTCGAGGCCAGTCGTAACGACGGGCTTGGGGTTTCGCCTGGGACTTCCTTACCATGTATACTGCTGAAGCTTAGAAATTGGCAACAGCTTCCTAGGTGGGAGGCTGGTGGTGGCTCTCGCCTTCGCGCCGCGCAGAGTCGTTTCGTGTTGCAAAAAACTGCAAGAGCTTCACGGGCTGAGGGCGAGTCGTGTTCAACATGCGACTCTCGCCTTCCCGCCGCGACAACTCGTTTCAAAACATTGCAAGACCTTCACGGATTGAGGGCGAATGGTTTTCAAAATGTGGCTCTCGCATTAGCTCCGCTCACATCCGTCTGAAGCAACTGCAGCTCACATCCGCATTAGCTCCGCTCACATCCAGCTTCACATATTGAGAGCAGCTCCTTTTGAACATGCGGCGATCGCCTCAGTGCCGCGCACACTAGTCTCAAACATTTGTGAGTTTCACGGGCTTCCAGAGCAAGCATAACAGAAATGGTGTCCTCGAGCGATTCAGGAACGTCAGGGCGTGACAGTTACGTTGATTCGCGGTGTTGAAGTCACAGACACGGTGTTTTGGCACGATTGATGGTCGTCAAGACGCAACAATCAAGCTGATCCGTGGCGTCGAATTTCCGAGACAGATCTTTCCGTATGCTCCAGGATCTTCAAGCAATTGGCTCTCAAGGTGGCACTTCCCCCTGTAGAAATGAATCCTTGTAAGGGCCTATGAATAGGGAGCTTGGGGGAGGGTTGATTCCAATTTCGTTGATGAGTCTTGGGCTTACAAAGTCCTCCTCCTCCTCCTCCTCCTCCTCCTCCTCCTCCTCCTCCTCCTCCTCCTCCTCCTCCTCCTCCTCTCTCTCTCTCTCTCGCTCTATCTCTCTCTCTTTGTCCCCCCCCTCTCCTCCTCATCCTCCTCCTGCTGCGCACGGCCAAATGGGAGAGACCGATGTCCACCCAGTGAATTACAATGCTAAAACAATATCAGCCACCAGGGGCTGCCACGCCTCCGACGGCGCAATTGTGCTGCTGCTGAGACTCTAAGGAAGGATCCAGAGACACAACAACTCCAGACGCGGAGGGCCTCTGGGATCTTCTCCCCCAGGAGCCCCACAGGGAGTATCCAGAGGCAAGTCATCCTGCTCCTCCTCCTACTCCTCCGCCTCCTCCTCCTCCTCCTCCACTCTGCGTCCCCGACCTCCTCTCCCACCACCTTATCCGCATCCTCTCCCGCCCTCGCCTGCGACTTGCGGCGGGTCGAACACTCGGGGTCCGTCCAGTCACGGTCACACTTGCAGAAGGCCGCCGTGTGCAGTTGCTGGCTGTTGGAGTTCAGCGGCTTCGCGGGCGGCGGCAGAGGGGGGTGGGGGGCTTGGAGGAGAAGGTGGAAGGAGGGGGAGAGAGGGGAAATAGGGGGAAAGGAGGGAGGAGCATGAGGAGCAGGAGAAGCAGGAAGCAGGAGTGAGATGGGAAGAGAGAGAGGAGCAGGATGAGCAACTGGAAGGGAGAGGGGAGGAGCAAAAACATAAGGTAATACCGTAGCACCACGCAGTTGCGGATAAAAGTGAGGGGGCGGCGGGGACGTCGGCAGTCTGCGAAGCTCTGCGGGGGAGGCGCCGAATTCTTCATTGAAGCAATGCGGTTGGGTCGCGGGTGGGTCGCGGGTGGGTCGCGGGCAGGTCGCGGGTGGGTCGCGGGCGGGTCGCGGGGTGGGTCGCCGAGTGGGTCGCGGGTGGGTCGAGGGTGGGTCGCGGGTTGGTTGGGTCGCCGGTGGGTCGCGGGCCGGGTCGCGGGGGGGCGACGACAACAACAACGCAACGCAACAACAAGCAAAATCCGCGCCGCGGAGTCCCGCTTCAGCCACGCACGGCAGGTTCGTGTCGTGACACCGTCGGGATCGCGCAACCTTGGACGATCGGCCGCTTCCACAACGTCAAATCGTTCAACATCGACCTGTTCTGGGTCGCCGGCGGCGTTCAACGTTGAATGCCGGCGGCGGGGTCGCCACCGGTCGACACGACGCGAACCTACCGCACCCAGGGAAAGGGAATGACCGTTCGGCCCCCGCGTGAGACGGTAGAGAGGCGATACGGGAGATGGGCGCCGAGGCTGCGTGCCCCTCACGGGGGCCCGCCTGGCCCCATCGGGGCAGGGAGTGGGGACCGTGGCCTCAGATCGCAGGCGCGCGAACACGGATTAGCGATCCATGGATTTGGCGCGCGGTCACCAAAGCCATGGATCGGGGGAGGTGCCCTCCCCAACATGCGGCCAGTGCCGCCTCGTTTGGCGGCGGGAATCCGCGATTTCCCATGGAAACGGCACCCGTCGCTCGTCCACGCCCCCTTGATCCATGCTTGCGGTCGCCTGATCAGAGAAGGGGAAGCTTACCAGCCACTCGTTCCTGCGAGCAGCCACGCTGCTGAGGACAGGGGAGAAGGAGGGACCAGGGCTGGACCTAAACGTTGTTTTCTTGTTTTGTTGTCGTTATGTGTTTCGTTTTGCTAGACCTGTTTTCCTGTACCTCCCTGCCAAAACGAAGAACAAATCACGGCCGAAGTCCAGCACAACAGCGTTTAGGTCCAGCCATGGGAGGGACGAGAAGGACCGTGCAGCCGAGGCACGGTGGCAAGAAGAGCGTGGCTCAAGAACTGGAGCCCCTTCGCCAGAGGTTCAAGGCCCCAGAGAAAGCAGAGATCGCAAGGCAGACAAACAAAAAAAACGAGCCATAGGCAAGCTCATGCGATGGCCTACGGCCTCGGAGAAAGCTACGTGACGAGATGCATGAACAGAGCAAGGAGGGAGGGGAGGAGAACGAGACGAAGAAGAATAAAGGGGAGAGGAGGGAAGATAATGAGAAAAAGCACACGCAATAAACATTTAAGTTTCGGCGCTCCGCGCGGATTTCTTGGATTTGCGCCGAACCCCCCTCCCGGGCGCGCGGAGCGTGCCAGGGGCGGCGCCGGAGGCGCCGCCAGGGGGGGGGGGGCCAGCGTAGATCCAAGAAATCCGCATGGAGCGCCGCAAGTTTATGTGCCCTCCTCCTCCTCCTCCTCCTCCTCCTCCTCCTCCTCCTCCTCCTCCTCCTCTGTATGCCGTTTTTTCTTCGCCGAGAGCGGGAACAGTTGAGGCAAGCATACGCTCGTGCCAGCGGCACCTCCGCCGCCCTGCAAGCGACGGGCGACGTGCGCGCCGAGGGTGACGTCCCCGGGAGCTCGCAGAGGCGGCCCAGGTTCGGTGGACGGTGCGGCAGCCCGGACGCCGCACGGTCGAAGCGTGGCCACACGAGCGTGGATCGAGAACTTGAGCCCACAGGGGTACGGTAGGGGCCCGGCAACAACAAACCTGCCACAAGAAGCCCAACCCTGAGGCCCCAGGACGTCCATTGGTTCTTGGTGTGGGAACGTCACGCCTTCCATGGCAGAACCGTCGACACCCAAGAAAGCCAGGGCACCCTGGAGGCGAGCAGGGTGTTTCTTGGCATGGGCCTCCACTGTACGGTCGACGCATGGTCACAAGAACGTGGATCGAGAACTTGAGCGTATCGGAGGTCAAACAAAGATTGCAGAAACAAGAACTTTCGTGGAGGTCTGCGCGGATTTCTTGAATCGGCGCTGGACCTCCCTCCCCGGCGAGCGGAACGCGCCAGGGAAAGCGCCGGAGGCGCCGCCAAGGAGCTACAGCACCGATCCGAGAAATCCGGGCGGACAACAGGTAGTTCCGTGTATGCTGCTTTTGTTCTCAAATCTGTGGAGCTCTGTGACTGCCCAGGTTCGGTGGCCAGTGCGGCAGCCTGGATCGGATTCGGGACACGTCCAGCACGGCTCGGGGTGCCTCGGGGCCGCTGGGTGCGGCTCGGTCCTTCTGGGCACAGAGTCTCCAGAGTCTCTCCCTCCTCTCCCTCCTCTTCATGATTCCTCACTCCCCCAACCTCCCCTCCCCCCTCCCCCTGCCTTACCCCTGCCTCCCCCTCCATCCCCCTTCCTCCCACTCCCTCCCCTTCCCCCGTCCTCCTCACTGCCGAAGCACGCCTTGCAGAACCCGCGCCCCGAGCACTGGTCGCCCTCGGGCACTGTCGGGTCCGAGCACGAGTTCAGGATGCCCGAGCCAGACGTCTTACCGGAGGGAATGTACTCGTACCTCGGAGGAAGGAGGAGGGGGAAGAGGGAGGAGGTGGGAAGGACGTGAGAGGAGGGAAGGGGAGAGGTGGACTCGAGGACTCAAGGTGCACACGGATGCGTTTATCTTGACGCCGCGCCCCTGGGAGGAAGGCTGCGGGGGAAGGACGAGGGAGGAGGCCGAAGGGAGGAGGGATGCAGGCCGAGAAGGAGAGCAGTGGGGATATCGGCGGCCCTCCTTCCTCACTTGTTTCTCCATTCTCCTTCCTCCTGTCCTCCTTCCCGCTTCCCCCTCCTCCTGCAGCTCCTCCTCCTCCTCCTCCTCCTCCTCCTCCTCCGCCTCCTCATTTCCTCCCGCCACGTAGCCAGCTTGAGCGACGAGAGGAAGCGGGTATCACGCCAGATGGCAGAGCGACCGTCCACGGTGGCTTGCGCGGGCCACCCGCGCGGCACGCCCCCTCGGACCCGAGGGCGCTCCCACGCCGCCCTGCCTCTGTGTTACGTTGAAGGGGCCCCAGGACACACAGATAAATACACACGAATAAAAGGATTCCCCATAGTTTCCCAAATGTTATGGGTGTTTGTCTTCCCCCCCACTTCCCATAGTTTCCCATAGTTCCCCCCCACTTCGTGTTTCCCCCCTCCTGATACGTCGCTCTTCCTGGCCAGAGCCCTCCTTGGAGCCCACCAGGGTCCAGTCAGGGCGAGGGTGGGCTCACGAGCCCTTCGCGCAGGGCGCACTCGGCCTGCCGCACGGGCGCCTGCGCAGGCAGCCGCCGCGCCGCACTCGGGTATCCCGCAGCCTCCCCACGTTCGGGCATCCCACGAGGCCTGCGGCGGGCCCCGCCCTCTTCGCTGCACGCGGGTCGTGGCAGTGCAAGGGCTGCCGTTTGGCAGATGCGGTCGCGCATCGAACAGCTTTGTTCTGGCTTTCCGCAATCAAGCGACTACTGACTTGTGGTCTGCATTGCTGTCGCCCGCTGGCACAGTGCAATCAATTCGAGTATCTTTTTACGGCGCTTTTCCCAAGAGGCCCGCAAGAGGCCCATAAGAGACCCCCAAGAGGCCAAGACTTGGCCGCAACAAAACATTCCTTGGTAACGCAGACGACCTCAAGAGGACTCGAACCGATGCCAAGGCGGCCGAGCGACCCCAGTGCGTTTCCGAGATGGACTCAAAGCACCAAGCGACCCAACAGTGCGGCGTTGTCAAGTCACGACGACCCGGCCTTGGTTTACGACGCCGCGCGATTCGTTCAACCTCGAGCGATCCGCAGCCTTCCGATTTGCAGATGGTTCCACATCGGCCGCTGACACTGGCGGCCTTCAACCTTGAACGCCCGCGGCGGGGTCGCCGCGGCATCAGCTCGACGCGAACCCATCGTGCCCTCAGAGCGACCCCAAAAGGGCCGTTCGATCCGCACATGATCTCGACGTGGTTATCAGCAGGCCGTCGGGCAACCCCAAAGCGGCCGAACATAGATGCAACGGGAGATCACGAGATGTCTCAAGGACCATGCGATGACCCCCAGGGGGCCCAATGTAGCCAAAGCAATACCAAAATACGACACCATGACCCCAGCATGCTCTTGATGACCCCGAGACAACGACAATACGACATCAAACTGCGGGATTCGCCTCCCGCCCAGGATCTATGGGGATCGCGTTTTGGTAGGTGGGACCGTTTATCCCGTGAACTATATTGGCCACTCAAGACGAGTCTTGGGGAGGGGGGTCCCAAGAAGAGAGGATCTGAGGGTGGAGGTGCCGGGGCGAGGTGGGGGGTGTCGGTCGGTTTTGGGCGAGAAATCGTGGGGTGGGGGGTCCCAAGAAGAGAGGTTCTGGGGGTGGGGGTGCCGGGGCGAGGTGGGGGGTGTCGGTCGGTTTTGGGTGAGATATCGTCGGGTGGGGGGTCCCAAGAAGAGAGGTTCTGGGGGTGGGGGTGCCGGGGCGAGGTGGGGGGTGTCGGTCGGTTTTGGACGAGAAATCGTGGTGAGGGGGGTCCCAAGAAGAGAGGTTCTGGGGGTGGGGGTGCCGGTGCGAGGTGGGGGGTGTCAGTGCCTCCTGGGCCCTCGTGCCCCTCTGGGTCGTCGTCGCGGTGAGCTCGTGTCTGTGGGCAAGATGTTGTGCTTTCGGGCGCGCTCACACAAATTCAAGGAACAGGCGGCACGACGATGTTAGAGGCCCACAAGAGCTTCCAAACGTTCCCGAACAGGCCTCAGCACTGCCTCCAAGAAGCTTCCCAGAGGCTTCCCGAGAGACCGCTGCTGGTATCAAGGAGGCCTCTGACCCACAAGCAAGGCACAATGGCGGGATGGGCCGACGGCCACTGGACTGCCAACAAAGATTCAATCAGGCTCAAACAAATTGCGAACCGTTGACTCCTCATCTCCTTTTGGTGTCGTCGGAATGGCATAAGCATCTTGAACAAATTCGAGCATCGTTTTACGCAAAGTTTCCCAGAAAATGGTATGCAAAGTGCGCATGGTTTCACTTTGACTTTGGCGGCGCGCACAAGGGGGTAGGGGGAGGGGAAGGCTTCTTGAAGTAGGCTGCCTCATAGGAGGCACCGGCCTGACATCTATAGATAAGGCCCGCGCCTTGTTAGAAGCAAGGGTGCTTCCAACAAACACTCCCCCTGCCCCCAACGCCCTTCTGCGCGTGGCTGGCGCTCGCGACCACTACCTTTGCTCCTTTGCTAATCGGCGACTCCCGCGTGCCCCCCCCGCGTCGGCCGGCTCGGCGCTTCGAGGGGTGCGTCGTCCTCAGTCAGCGCCCAGAGGGTGTTATAGAGGTCCTTCTGGGCCATTCTTCATCCTGCTCATCCTTGCTCGTGACTTCCTCCTCCTCCTCCTCCTCTCCTTCCTCCTCCTCCTCCTCCTCCTCCTCCTCCTCCTCCTCCTCCTCCTCCTCCTCCTCCTCCTCCTCCTCCTCCTCCTCCTCCTCTCCTTCCTCCTCCTTCTCCTCCTCCTCCTCCTCTTCCTCATCCTCATCATCAGCATCAGCATCATCATCAGCAACGTCATGATCAGCACCATCATCATCAGCATAATCGTCATCATCGTCATCATCATCAGCACCATCATCATCATCATCATCATCATCATCATCATCATCATCATCATCATCATCATCAGCATCATCATCATTGTCAGCACCATCATCATCATCATCGTCATCATCAGCATCATCATCATAATCATCATCATCAGCAGCATCATCATCATCACACGCATCATCATCAGCATCAGCATCAGCATCAGCATCAGCATCATCATCATCATCATCATCATCATCATCCTCCTCATCCTCCTCATCCTCATCATCATCATCATCATCATCATCATCATCATCATCATCATCATCATCATCCCCCCTCTTACCATATCCTTTTCCAGGGGCTCTTCTCGCGCCATTCTGCCCAATCTAGGATCGAACGAGCTGCTACATGAGAAAAAAGCACTGCAATTCTGAGGCTGCTACCCAGGATTTCAAGGTTCACCCCAAACCTCCTCGGCTTCTGGATCCCCGTGCTTTTCGCCAACTATTTCCGGGCTTAGCACGAATCCATTGTGACGGGAGGACTGGCCAGTCTTAAGAAAAATGGATTCGAACACTACAAATCAAACGACCAATTCTGTGATCACTTGGACATTGTGTTGATTGTTGTGCCTAAGCTCCTGAGCAGGAAACCTACATCTGCCTCCACGGCCTTGTCCGAGGATCGCCTCTCCACGGCCAGCCATGTTTCGCACTTGACCTTGAACGGCTGCTTCCAAGGCCCATCGAACTCGAAGGGGCGGCATGCCTTACTGTGTAGCGCTTCCAGTGAAGCCAGCTTCTCCTTAACCAGCATGAGCTCGCGCCTGGCTTTGAAGGGCTGCTTCGAAGACCCGTCGGACTCGTAGCGGCGAATGGCATCGAAGTTCATCGCCTCCATCGGTACGAACTCCACTGCGCCTTTCCTGAGCTTGCAGCCCGCCCCCTTCGCCAAGTTGACCAAGTAGTCGCGATCCTGCTGCGACTCGCTCGGCTCCGACGCGCTTCCTACAGAGGAGCAGAGCATCGCGCCACACGTGCACCACCGGCCAGACTCAGCACCCTCGTGGGACGCCTGCTCCTGGACGACCTGGTCTCCGAAATGCTTGATGCAAGAGCAAGCCGCTGCAGACGTCGAGCTTGTCTTCCGGCGAAGGCACGGCCTGGACGGCCTCGGCCCCCGCGGCAGATGCCTCGGCAGATGCCCTGGATTTCCTTATCCTCCTTACACGTGCCTGCAGATTTCCTTACCCTCCTCCTCCTCCTCCTCCTCCTCCTCCTCCTCCTCCTCCTCCTACTTCCCTACCGTATCCCCTATCCTCCTCCTCTTCACTGCTCATTCTTCATCTGCAGGCGTTCTGCGAGGTGGCCTGCACCGAGATCTACCCGTGCATGGAGCATGTCACGAAAAGCTTCCTGGACTGCTGCGGTCAGTCCCTCGTGCCAACCGCCCGCGGGACACGCCCCATATCCAAAACATCGAGTTCCATGAGTGGCAACGTGCTGACCACCCTTTCGTGGAGCTGGCTGCCTGGTACGACAACGAGGGGCACGATGCCGAAATGATCTGCACCGTAGACGTGTCCGTTGTGGAGAAGGCTAGCGACCTGCGCCGAGACCTGCCCCGAGTTCAGCCGGATCAGCGTGGACGCCTTGATGACTTCCTAGGGCACTGCGACTTCGCGCCGCCTACCGCCTTCGAGACGTGCCGCATGCATACCACGTTCGGTTCCGAGGATGGCATCGTTCTGGACACGTTTGCATCGTGCTGGACACCAGCGCCTTGAACATCAAGGTTAGCATTGTGCTGGAATACACGTTCGTGGATATCCTGGCCTCGTATGACCACGATACGTGCTCAGAGTGTCATATCGACAACTCCAACCCAGACTTGTCAGTCGGAGATCTCACTTGCGACATGGGGAAGGCGATGAGCTTCGAGGAAGCCTAAGCCTGCCCCTAATTCAAGAGGCGCCCAGAGGGCATCTTGAATAACTTCGTAGCCCACTGCGACTCTGCTCTGCCCGTCCTCTTCGAGAAGTGTCCTAGGTTCCACGCCTACGGTAAGAGCATCATCTCTCTGACCTTAGGGGTCCTAGTAGAATCTGGCTACAACCTGGCTATCTCCTGTTTGCATGATCGTGTTTATTCCAGGTGACTGCGCTTTTATAGCAGTTGAGGTGATGAGGATAAGGGATACGGTGGAGAATGGGGAGGATGAGAAAGAAAGAGGGTGGGAGGACGAGGAGGGGGACAGGGAGGAGGAGGCCAAGGACAAGGAGGAACAGGAGGGAGGAAGAATGAGGAGGGCGGAGGAGGAGGGGGAGAAGGGTGAGGGGGGAGTGAGGAATAAATGACGAGGGAAGGCAGAGGAGAAAGGGGAGGAGTAGGAGGGATGGATGGAGGAGGCGTGAAAAGGGCCGCCGAGGCCGGCGCCGCATCAGGTAGTTCTCCGCCTGCCGCCAGTTCCCGGTGATGTGGTACTCGATTGTGTACTGCCGAGGGGTAACAATTCTGTGGCAACTCATGGGAGCCTCCCACGTCATCTTGCTCGCTATTGCACATTGCCCCTATCCGCCGCTAAGTCGAAGCTGATTCGGCGCTTTCCCTCTTCGTCGACCAGACTCCAGATCACGCGAATTAACTGTAAAGACGGAAGTTCGAGGACATACAAAGCAGAGCTCCCATGAGTAGTTAGCTATCGGGCAAAAATGATAGGAAGAGATTCGGCGGAGAGAAGGCAGAGGAGGCGGGCCTTCTCAGAAGGCGAAGAAGGCCTCCAGCCCTAAGAAAAAAATGGCCTTCTGCAGAGACGGAGACGGTTTCTCCAAGGACGGAGGGCTTCTGAGAAGCCCCGCCGGCTTCTACGAAAGCCTGCCCCTTCTCTGGGGGGGCCCACAAACGACGTACGCGCCGAACCACGTATATGAACATGGCCCCCCAGACTGCGAGACCAGAACCAACATGCATTCATGCACGTGTACGCTTGAGCAGGGACCGACCGTCCCGGCATTCCTATAGTCATACCACGAAATTCTCATAGAACCCAAATATGTTCTAAGAACAAAAACAATGTTCTTAGAGCATAAGCCCGATGTGGTAAAACAAGACAGTCCCAGCCAGAAATGTTCTAAGAACATTTCGTGGGAAACACAAAAGGTTCTTAGAACATTGTTTGGTGGGGCTATAGGCGAGCCGGGACGCTTCGCCACTGCTTGATACGCTCCTCTTTCGCTCCTCACTCTCACTTCAATCCCGGCCCGGGGGACGGTGGCGAACGAGCGCACGCAGAAGCCGTGCGCGCTCCGCCAGGGCGCCCGCCCGTGCCGATATGTGCGCCCACGAGCTCCCGCGCAGCGGTGCCGCGGTGTCGGCCCCGGCGACACGCGGTGTGGGTGAAGGGACCCTGAGACACACAAATAGATACACACGAACAAAAGGATACCCCGTATTTTCCTACATTTTCTGGGTTTCTGTCTTCCCCCCCATTCCCATATTTTCCCATATTTTTTGGGGAATCAACGACGTGTCTGTGGGTTTCTTTCCCTCTTGAGTGGGACGGATCGCCAGGACGAGGACAAAGCCGGGCAAAGCAAGATCGGAAATCGCCGAGATCCGTGCGCGAACTGCGATGGGGGGCGGTGAGCGGGAGGGCTGCCAAGGAGGGGCCCTTCCGGGCCCCATGCAGGGGGCCCCTGCAGGGCCTGTGGGGCCCGAGAAGGGCACCTCTCTTCCCCCCCCCCTCCATGGTATCGCCCCCCGTTTATTCGCGCCCAGGAGAGCCTGCGGCTCTGGAGGACGTATCGGGCGGCGGCCTCCTCAGAGCGTCCCAGGAGGCTCTGACAGCATTCGGGCACGCTCTGGAACGGACTCAGCCTTGTCCTAGCCCCGCCTGGTGATTGCCCTGCAGGCGATAACGTGTCGCTCCGACTCGTGGGGCGGGGGCCTGGGAAAGGCTCGGGACGTTGCCGCGTGAGGACCCGGCCGTGGATAGCGCGTCGCGCCAATGCGCGGGGGGCCAAGACTGGCGACGCCACACGCCGGGCCAGAGTTCCTGACCGTAGGGCACGGCGTGGAGGACGTATCGAAAATGGGGGGAGAGGAGGGGTAGAGGGGGGGAGAGGAAACGGGATGGGAGGAAGGGGTTCCAAAGCCGCGCGCGAGCGCGCTCATGCCGCACCGCGTGCACGCATGCATCGATGCTCCCGCGAGCCACGGCTTCGTTAGTAGGAGAAGGCATCGCAATCATCACCACCAGCACCATCAACAGCATGGTCATCGCCATCGTCGGCACCATCGCCACCGTCGTCGCCAACAAATATCATCATCATCATCATCATCATCATCATCATCATCATCATCATCATCATCATCATCATCATCATCATCATCATCGTCATCGTCATCATCATCATCATCATCATCATCATCATCATCATCAGCATCATCAGCATCATCATCATCATCATCATCATCAGCATCATCATCATCATCATCGTCGTCGTCGTCATCGTCGTCGTCGTCAATGCCATCATCTCGAAAATCACCATTACTATGATCACTTGCGTTATCGGTATGAAATCATCACCACTGTCATCTTCACCATCCTCACAACCAAAACTATCAGCACCAGCGTCATCAATGTCGTCACCATCGTCACCATCAGCAGCAGCAGCATGAGCGTCATCGGCATACGCACCAGCAATCATCATCATCATGCTCAACAGCCTTCTTCTCCCCATCCTCCTCCCCTCCTCCCCTCCTCGTCCGCATCGTCCCTCTCCTTTCCATCCTCTCGCTTCCTCCCTCCGTGCGTCCACAACCTCGCTACTCTTACTCATCATGATTATCAGCGGCCCATCCTAATTCTGGAGTAACCTCATCCCTCTCATCATCCTCATCATCATCATCAGCATCATCAGCAGCATCACCATCAGCATCATCAGCAGTAGCAGCAGCAGCAGCAACAGCGACATCACCATCACCATGATCAGCATCATCATCACCACCACCACCATCATCATCACTACCGGCATAACCTTAGCAATCATAATAGTCATGACCTGCACCACGACCATCACCATAAGATCCTAAACATCGTCACCATCACCATTACAAATATGTTCATGTTCCGTCTCCAGCTACCGTCCTCAATTTCCTCCTTCATCCCTCAATGTCTTTTCCTGCTAAACGACGCCTCCATCTCGTACCCAAAACGTGTGAGTAGGGCGGGCCAGGCGTGTCACCTGAGACTGCCTCACCGTGTATGATCCTGATGCTTTCAAGTTGCAACACTTGTATAGATGGAAGGCGGGTGGTTTTCAAGATATGGCTCTCGCCATGTCACCGCGCACACGAAATAAACGAGCTTGCAAGACTTTCAAGGATGAGAAGCGCCCCGTTGCTTTAAGGCTCCCACCTTAGCAACGCCTGCATCCGATCCAAAACCGTGCAAAAAGCTTCAAGGATATGGAGAGCGGCCCGCTTTCAAAATGTGGCCCTCGCCTCAGCGCCACGCACATTCGCCTTGAAAGTGCGCATCACGTTAAAGATGGAGGGCGGCCCGTGTTCAATATGTGGCTTTCGCGCCGCGCACATTCGTCTTAGAAGTTTGCAACAGTGTCAACAACGGAAGGCGTCTCCCTTTCAAACCACAGTTCTCCACTCAACGCCGCGCACACTCGCCTTAGACATTTGCACCGCGTTCTAGCACTTGTAGGGTTGTAGCCAAGGGAATGGCACTCTGGGGCGATTCACGTGGAAGTGTCAGGACGCTACGGTCACATTGATTCGCGGTGCTGAAGTACTAGGAATTGCGTTCTGGCATGATTCCAGATTGTCAAGACGCAACAATCACGTTCATTCGAGGCGTTGAAATCCTGGGAATGGTTTTTGTTCCGCACGGTTGGGGATTCTCAGAAGATTGTCGTCCCATGGGGCACTTCCCGCGATGAAACTGAATTCTAGTAGGGACCTATGAAGAGGGAACTTGGAGCGAGGGATTACTGCAACATCGTTGATGCGTCTTGGGTTTACACGGGTCGTCCCCCCCCCGTCCTCCCCCTCCCAATGCGTCCTGACCGTTCCTCCCTCCGTGCTCCAGCAACTTTGCCCCTCCTCCTCCTCCTTCTTCTCATGTGTGTTGCTTCTCTGTCTGCCTCCCCACGGTCATCCTCATGATCATCCTAATCGTCATCACCACAACCAGCACCATCAGCATCATCAGCATCATCATCACCATCAGCAGCATGTTCATCATCATGCTCATCATCATCATCATCATCATCATCATCATCATCATCATCAACAACATCATCATCATCATCACCCATCATCATCACCATCCTCATCATCCGCATCACCACCACCACCATCATCATCATCAGCAGCATCGTCATCAGCATCATCATCCTAAGCATCATCCGAATCAGCATCGTGATTATCATCATCATCACCATCATCAGTATCTATGGTCAGCATCAGTATCGTTATCAGTATCGTCACCAGCAGCATCACCATCGTCATCACAATCACCACCACCATCACCACCATAATCGTCAGCATTACCATATACTTAACCACGTCATCAGCATCATCGTCATCATGATCAGCTGCATCATGACGATGGTCATCATCGTCATCAGCATCATCAGCACCAGCAGCATCACCCTCATCATCATCACAATCAGTAGCAGTACTGTCATCAACAAACTCAGCATCGCAATCACAATAGCCATATCAACATCATCGCCACCAGCACCATCATCATCAACAAAAACATCATTACCATCATGATCATCATCAGCATCAGCATACTCATCATCAACATCAGCAGCATCGTCATTGTCACCATCATCCTTATCATTGTCATTATCATCATCATCATCATCATCATCATCAGCAGCAGCAGCATCATCAGCATCATCAGCATCATCATCATTTCCCCCTGCGTCTAACCATTCCTGCTGCTGATCCTCGACTTCTCCCTGCCCGATATCTCCTCCTCCTGCTCTTCCTCCTCCTCATCATCATCATGCACCGTCTCTTCCTCGTCCTCCTCCCCATCTTTATCCCACTCCTCATCCATCCCCGTGCCTCCCCCTCCCCCATCCTTCTCCTCCTCCTCCTTCTCCTCCTCCACGTCCTTGCGATCGTCCTCCTGCTCCTCCTCCCCCATCCTGCTCCTCCTCCTCCTCCTCCTCCTCCTCCTCCTCCTCCTCATCCCCCCCCTCCCCATCCCGACCCCTTCCTCCCCATCCCCGCTCCCTCCCGCTCCTCCTCCCCGCTCCCTCCCCGTGCCCGCCGCCCCCCACAACCCCCTCCCTATGCCTTCTCCTCTCGCCGCCCTTTCGGCCCCTCGCCACCGCGCGCAGGGGCCTCGGGCCCGAGGCCTCTCCGGCGCGGGGAGACCGCGCGGGGAGGGCGCCCGCGACGCGCCTAATGGAAGGGGGCGGGCCGGGGAGTGCGGCGGAGATGCGCGCCAGAGCGGCTGCTGCTCGCTGGCCGCGGGGGAGGCAGCGCGGGCAGAGGCGGAGAGCACGAGGTGCGGGCGAGAGGGCGGTCGGGGGACGCCGTCGGCCCGCATCACGAGGAGGCGCGGTGAGGATGCCTAAGGGGCCTGGAAGCCCACGTCGAAGCTTTTCGAGCGAGGCGCGGCCAAGGAAAGTGGCGAGGGATGGACATGGGGAGGCAACGATGCAGGGGTACCCTCGGGAAGGTTGCCCATCCCTACCATGCGGGGTTGACTATTGTGGGGCAGGGGCTGGGAAGGAAGAGGCGGGGAGGAGGGCAGGAGAGGGGGGGCAGGAGGGAGGGAGAGGGAGGCGGAGGCTCGCCCAGGCGAGGGCATGGAGGGGAACGGTGAGGAGTGGGCGAAAGGGCGAAGGGGGGGGAGGGTATGGGGGCCAGGGCTGGGAAGGACGAGGGCGAAGGAGGCGGATCAAGAGGGCGGCCTGGCGCCGAGTGCGCGAAGAGCGGCCCCGCGCCGCCGAAGCCTGGCACTGGCCACGGCTTGGAGAAGGGAGGAGGGAGGGGGATGCGGAAGGAGGAAGGAGTGGAATGAAGAGGACGTTTGGGAGGGGGGGGACTGGAGGGGGGGCATCGAGTCCGCGGAGGGAGGGAGGCAGGAGGAGAGGGACAAGGGAAAAAACAAAAACGATGCGGCATGATGCGACATGCTGTTAAATAATCTTCTGCATTGCAGCAGCAGGATGACGAGTGAGAAAGAGGAGGAGGAGGAGAACAGGGGGAAGGATCATAACGTAAGGACAAAGAGAGGTTGCGCACGCAGGAGGAGGGAGGAGGTTGGACGGAGGGTGGATGAGGGATGAGGGAGCAGGGGAAAGAAGGAGGGCTGGAAGGGAAGAACAGAGGAGGAAGGATGATGAGCAATGGTGGCCTACGCGGACCCAGAAACAAAGTGGAAGATATCTCGCTCGGCGCGATCGTGGGGGGCGGCTGCCTGCGGAGACACTGCGGGCCATGCGGCCCTCAGTCAAAAAAGAACGAGGGAAAGAGACAGAGAGAGAGAGGGCGAGAGAGGTAAAGACAGGAGGAAATGAGGCAGGCAAGCTCACCAATGCCGATACTGGGCGGGCCCCCCAAAGACTCAGGTGGGGATCCTTCAGACCCAGGTCAGTGAGGCCTTGCAAGATCCTGTAAGATCCTGCAAGATCCTGCAGGCTCCTGCACCCAAACCCGGGTCATTATGCCCCTTGCAAAATCCGGCGCTCTGGCTGACCCCCGTCTCCTGAGCCCCGATCAGGGTCGGTTGGCGCGCAGTCCCAGCTACTCCAGGAGCGCCTCTCCGCCAACCCCAAACCCCAGGAGGGGCCCGGGGCCCGGCCGGGATCGGTGCCCTCTTCTGAGGAGAGTGGGCCCCCACCAGGGAGGAAATAAGCGATCAAGACAGAGGAGCAGGAAGAGAGAGAGAGAGAGAGACGGAGCGGGTGGCAATGATACAGCACGCACAGAAACGGAGAGAGAGATGGAGAGAAAGAGAGGGAACAACAAAACCAAAAGAGAGAGAGAGAGAGAGAGAAGAGCAGAAACGCGGGGAGGAAGACACGGAGGGGGGAGATGGAGCACGTCAGAAGAAGTCGCTGGCGCCCTGGGGCGCCCCCCCGCCGCAGGGCGGCGACTCCAGGCCCGGCCGCGACCCCAGGGGCTCGAGGTTCTCGGGTCTGAGGCGCTTCACCTCGGAGGCCGGAGGGGGGGAGGGAGCGGAGGGGCCGGGGAGGGGCACTGGGAGGGGGCAGGAGGGGCGAGGGAGGGGGGGAGGGAGGGGCAAGGGAGGGAGCGGGGAGGAGAGGGAGGGGCAAGGAGGGGGCAAGGGAGGGGGGGGGGGAGGGGCAGGGGAGGGAGCGGGGAGGAGAGGGGAGAGGAAGGTGGGCAAGCCAGGCGCGGGCGCGCCACATCCGGCATCCTACCCATCCGTTCCCGCCCTTCCCGCTGCGCTGATTGCGTCTCCATCCGCCAGCGGGTGTCCCGGCGGACCTGGATCCCCCGAGTGGGACCCGCCGTGTGATGCGCAATCAGGATGGGGAGCTGCGTGCATCGGAAAAGGGTGGAGCATCAGCAGCAGCGAGAGGAGTAGATCAAGAGGAGGATGAGGGAAAAGGGAGGAAGAGGAGGGAGAGCATCAGCAGCAGCGACAGGAGTAGAAGCAGCGGGAGGAGCAGCATGACCAGGGGGAGGCACAGGGAGGAAAAGCGGGGGGGCGACAACGACGAGGAAGATTGGATCCAGAAATGTGGCCCGCGCTCTGGGCTGCCACTCTGGAGGAAGGAAGCGAACACAGCGACGATCCCGAAACGGGATCAGCAGCAGCGGGGACACCGCTTCAGACAACAAAAGGCAGTCAGGATAAACACGTAGGTGAAACCAAGTGTTAGGTCGGGCGTGTCCTCCTACAGGCGGACGTTGGACGAAAAATACAAAAATTGTCAAACAATTCAGAAATACCCTAACACTGTCCCCATGTTACTTGCTACTATGTTTAAATATTCCTCCCGGAGAGGGCCAGGCCCGACTGAAACCAACTGGCGAGACCCAGCGGTTAGAAAGAAGACCGCGCGCGGGAACAGCGGCGCCCTGCTTGCGCAGCAACTCTATGGAAAGAGAGAGAGAGAGAGGAGAGACCGGCACGCGCAAGTGCAGAGGCAGGAGGGATGGAGGAGAGGGGGGGAGGGCAAGCTACGCGCGCGCGCCATGTCTGACATTCCGCCCCATCCCACCCATCCCTTCCAATGGTGCTGAGCTTTCTCTATCCGCCGACAGGTGTCCTGGCGGACCTGGACCCCCAACTGACCCCTTGGGTAATCTGCAATCAGTGAGGGGGCCTGGGCATATTGGAGGAGGGCGTGGACTTCGGAGAGAAAGAGAGAGAGAGAGGAAGAGAGAGAGAGAGAGAGGAGGAGAGAGAGGGAGAGGGGGAGAGAGAGAGAGAGAGTTGAGAGTGAGAGAGAGAGAGACACACACAACAACAACAGACAGAGAAATACATGAAGAGGTAACAGAGCGAGAGAGAGAGAGAGAACACAGGAAACAATAGGCACATAAAAAAGAGGACAATGATATATATCTATACAAGACTGCATTGGCGCTTTGCGCCATGCACCTTGGTCCTTCAAGCCTTGCATGTGGTGGCACTTGGCGCGATCCTCCGTTGCTTCTGCACTTCGGCCGCTTCGCGCCGAGTCCCCAGAGCCGTTCCTTATTCGCTTGCGCCCTCGCTTTGCAGGTCCGCGCGCCACTCGGACGAGTATGCCGGGGTGTGGAGAGACAGCCAGCATGCGGGCGATGTTCCGAATCACGGAAACTATAGGACATTTACATAATCCCCATCCCCAAGAAATGTACCGAATCCCAAATTCACAACCGATTTTCTGGGAATTGGGTTGCGAACCCGGGATTTGAAGCATTTGGGTGTTTTGCGTGAGAAGCCGCTGTCCGGGAAAAACGGCGTGTGAAGTGTTTTCTGGCCTGTTCAAGGGTGCCCTCGGAGCTTTTTTCTATTTTTTGGAACTCTATTGGGCCGTTCTAGGGCGTTTTTGTGCGTGGGGGCAGAGGCGAGGGCTGTAGGCGCCTTTTGGAGCGGTCTAGGGCCCTCCGGGGGAACCTTTTAGAAAGGTTGTCCGTCGTCTCGGAGGTCTCATGGGGCCGTCATGGGGCTCTGTGTGGGGCCTTTGGGGCCGCCATGGGGTCCTGTTGGAGGTCTCGTCGGCCGTCTTGGGGCGGCTTCGAGAGCTTTTGGGGCCGTCTTGGACTCGGCAAGGTCGAAGTTACGAAGATGTCAAACATGCACATGTTCCTAAGGGAATGAGCAGATGTTTGCCTGTTGGGGGTCGTCTTCGAGACCTTTGGAGCCATCCTGGAGGCCTCTTGGGCCATCTTGAGGTCACGTCAGTAACTCTTGGAGCGCTTCTGTGCTGTCTTGGGGGTCTCTGGGACGTCTCCGATGACCCCCCTGATGGCCCTAGGTGTGCTGGGAAGGCCTGGCAAAAAGCCCTGGGAGGCCCTGGGGGCCGCTTCGAGGCCCGTATGGAAGGTCCCAAAGCCCAAGATCCCGAGAGTCCGGTTTTTGTTTTGGGGGGGAAGGGTTTTCCCCCCGCCCGGGATATTGTAAAAATATAGAAAGAGGAATGTAACTATATATATATATATATATAGACAGGGAGAGATAGAGAGAGAGAGAGAAACAACAACAAAAAAGGGAATAACATACACACATACATACAAAAACAAATAGAGGGAGAGAAGGATACTGACAATGCGAATAGGAAAGAGAGAAAGACAAAGCGAGACAGAGAAAAACGGAGAAAGCGAGAAAGCGAGAGAGAGAGAGAGAGAAACGATGAGGATGATAATGGTGACAATGGATGCGAATCATGATGGCGACGATGACGTTGACCAGGAAGAGGGCGACGCGAGAGGAGGAGGAGGAGGAGGAGGAGGAGGAGGAGGGAGAGGAGGAGGAGGAGGAGGAGGGAGGAGGAGAGGAGGAGGAGGAGGGGAGGAGGAGGAGGAGGAGGAGGAGGAGGAGGAGGAGGGAGGGAGGAGGAGGAGGAGGAGGAGGAAGCGCAGGAGGAGGAGGCGGAGGAAGAGGAGGAGGAGAGGAGGATGAGGAGGAGGAGGAAGGAAAGGACACGGGAGGGGGACACGGCAGGAAGATATGGCAGGAGGAGGACCTGCAGCGCCGGCCCCGCCGACGCGCCCCTGCCTCCCTCCTCCTGGTGGGCCAACAGCTTGACCTCGTACCTGGCGTCCCTGGCGCGGCGTCGGGAGGGGGGCAGAGACGGTCGCGCCCTCCCTGCCAAGCGGCGGTCCCAGGCCGACCTGGGACTCGGGCGGCGCGTTTTGGGGACGCAGCGCAGGACACACGTTTGTCCCTCGGGAGGAGGAGGGGGAGGAGCAGGAGGAGGAGGAGGAGGAGGAGGAGGAGGAGGAGGGAAGGGAGGAGGAGGAGGAGGACGAGAATCTGGAGGAGTAAGAGGAGGAGGGGGAGGAGGAGGAGGAGGAGGAGGAGGAGGAGGAGGAGGAGGAGGAGGAGGAAGAGGAGGAGGAAGAGGAGCGAACTCGCCATGGGGGAAGGATGCGAAAACGGCCGACCCGATCCGCAGTCGAACCCTTAGGGGGGCGGTCCTGTCTTCTGGTCTCGCGGCGCACCTGGTTCGGCAGCAGCAGGAAACCGTACCAGCCTCCTTCTGATGGCCCTGCTCGATGCAGGATATCTCTGGACCTGGCCAAAATATCCTGCCAGGCCGGACTGACGCCTGATCCACTGAGCAACGCAGGCTTTAGCACAACTGTGCAGAACAGGGGATGGGCAGCCGCGATGCTTCAGATGATGGCACGACCTATAAGCAAAATCGAAATAAAGAACGACAGCGACTAAGGCCTCCGAGGAAATAGGAAACAGACGGTACACATGCAATTGCTTGACTCCACCACTATACACGAAGGCGGAGGGGAGGCGGGGCAGGAAAGAAAAGGCGGAGCCCCGAGAACACTGGACAGTCAATGACGTGCCTTACCGAGTCTCCAGACGGGAGGCCGCAAGCAATGTAATTATTCGTGGTTGCCTTAACACGAGCACTGCACGCAAAGACCTTACAAACCGTTTTGAACACCACTGATAAAACACAAAATTGATGTTTTTTTTCTGCCATCCCAAAAGACGCAATCCGAACATGTTGGGCGTCACTTCTGGGTAAAAGAGGGCGGGTTTCGCCAAGACGACTGCGTATCATCGGGAAGGTGGACACTTTCTCGGTGCCGACGAGGTATTTCTCCATCTCTCTCTGGATGGAAGGGGATTTCTCGCGGGGCCTCGGGGATACTGCATGCGTTGGTGCATTTGCCGTGGAACGTTTTCAAGATACTGCCTTGCCACGCAGGATGGAGATGTCACACGATGCAGCTCTCGTCGGAGCTAATGAGCGAAATTGGGGAGGAGCTCCACGGCCTCCGCGAACGCGGGCACTCGCTAGGCGACTCGGGACCTGGCGGTTTGACTTCGGAGGCGGATCTGGGCGGCTTGGATAGGGGCACCGACCACTTTCAGGTTCTGCAAAGCCTTGGAGGGAATGGCATTCTAAGGGCCCCGAACACTCACCTGCAGCATCCTTGTCTCTGTCCTGTCGAAGCTCAGGACCGAAGAGCACAACGGGCTGAAACGGGGGATGGATTTCGCCGGCCCGAGATCCAGCCCCTGCACCACGCACGAGCGCCCTCGAAACTTGCCGAGCGGGAGCTGCCAGCTCTCCCCCTGGCCACCCTTCCCAACGCGATCCCGAAATGCCTGGCGAGAGCGTTAAGCTGGCAACGAGCGAGCTGACCGAGATGAACGATTTGACCCCGAAGCTCCTCCCCCGAGACGCCCCCTATCAGGGCGACGGCGGTTTCGCGAGTGAATGCGAAGCCCAAACGCGGCCCCCGCGAGAATCCAGTTATCGATGGCGATCGGGAAAGCAATGACCAGGTCATTGCTGGCCAGTCCGCAATCGTTCGGCAAAGGCCCCTACTTCGCGCAGAAGGCGAGGCAGCTTGCGCGCCAGCATGCGGGGAATCGGGTCGTGCACCACAGCGAATAAAGACCCCGACGTCGGGCGCCCTTGCCTGGCGCCCCTGGCCAGGATGAACCCACGTTCGCGATTCCCCCCGAAGGATACGGCAGTGGAGAAGTTGGAGTAGAAAGCCACGATCGCGCGTCGGATACGGCCAGGGAAATTCATCTGGGCCAATGCGAACGTGAGCGCGGCGTGGGCCAAGCTCAATAGGCCGCCCTCGCATCGAAAAAGACAGGCCCGCCCCGCTGCATACTCTGCTGGGCTAGCCAATGAAGACATCTAGTCTCTAAGGCCAGGATATTGCCAAGCGTCTGCCGACCCCGGAGAAAACCATGCCGCTGCTGACGAACGGCCCTCTGGCATAGTCCCGAGAGGCATTTTCAGAGCCGCCGAGATAATGTCATTGCCCGTGCCCGCCAAGGAAATGAGCCGCGTCTTCTCAGCTGCCCTGACTGCGAAACTGTCGCGCGCGCGGGCTCGACGCCCTTCGCGAGGAATACTGCCATGGCGTCGTTAAAATTGGGCGGGGCGGAGCCAGCCTGGAGGATGTGGAGGCGGAGCGAGCGCCGGGCCCTGGCGGCGGCCTCGCCGGCGCGCGCCCACCCCGAGGCGGGCAGACCATCGGGCCCGGGTGCGCGGCCAGGGACGCGCCCCATCAGGTTCAGGACTTGGCCAGAACTCAGCCCCCAACGGATCTCCTGTGGGACCTCCTGGACGCAAGGCTTAAAACGACTTAAAGCGCCCCGGGGAACCTCGACCTCCTCGCGCACCCGGCCCCAATTTCTGGCATGCTCGCGGCAAGACTCGCCAGCTTCAAACGACGCGGCGCCAACGAGGCCCACGACCGCGCCAAAGCCGCGCCTCCTACTCTAGAGCCCCCAGGCACTCTTGCACGGGCATGGGGAGTTGATATTGCTCTACCTCTTGAGCTTCGGAATGTTCTTGCTTTGCCTAGTCGCCTCCCACTCGTCGTCAAGAACCTCACTCCGAAGGCCCCCCAGGAAAGCGCGAAACTGCGGATCATCGACGAGACGGCATCCCTTGTTGCAGAAAAAGTTGACGAGCTGCAGACGGGCCTTCAAGGCCCGACAGAGCACCACTGCGTTCCCTGATCTGGCCGCCCGACGTGCCGCGGGAAAGACCAAGGTGCCCCGCTGGCCTCCGAACCCAACTCCAGCTCCTCGAGGTCCCTTTTCAAAATTTTGACTGCCTTAATAAGGCAGCCCCTAGACTCAGCACTGGCCTCGCCGGGATCCCCGCGCAGACCTCCCGCTCCTGCGGTAGTGTCCTGCGTTTTTTCCGAGGCTGGGTTGAGGTCGCGCAGGCCAGCCGCGGGCAGACCGATGCACATCTGATCCATGCGTCAAAGAGTCAACCTCTTTTCCGTCGCCGCTCCTGTCTTCCACTCTGCGAGCAAACGAAGCTTGGCCCACTTCGGCCACGTGCGGAAAAAGACGGTCGACCTCCATGGCGGTCGACTGGCCGCTCGAAGTACATCTGCCGTCGGGGCGGCGCGATCCTTTGCCGCGGGCTGGAAAGTTAAATTCGCCGAGCACCATCTGCTCGGCGTTCTTTGCGGGCGCCAGGGCGCGACGGATTCGATGAGCTGGTGCTGTTCGGCGATCGGCTGGCGGTTATGACCTAGATTACATTGACAACCTGAAGACGCTACGCGACCGTCCTCGGGGACGTCGTGAATAGCGGGCGCGAAGAGCACCTGGGGTTTGGTGTGGACCAGGATAAGACACCCTCCCGAGGTGGTAACGTCCAGAAACGCACTGACACCAAAAACTTGAACAGCTCCTTTGCACAGGTACTACAAGTGCTCCTGCGACCCCCTGGCTTCCTGAATACAGGCTAATTCACGCCCGGAGCACAGCGAAAGAACTGGTTGCATTTAGCCCGATGCGAAGCCTGGGGAGCGAAAATGGCACCGAAGAGCGATCGTACGTTCCACTGCAAATAGAGAAAGGCTGCGCAGGAACAAAGGAAACGCTGCTCCAAGGAGGGACCTGAACGATCAGAGCGGTGAGTGGGCAAGGATAACGAAGCCCTGGAAGACGAGTCACCCGAGCTCGACGAGGCCGAACTGGAGGAAGAAGAAGGCGAGGGAACATTCGTGGCATTGCTGGCAGCTTGCAAGGACTGCAAATTATCAGCCCACGCGCGCGCAACCGAAGGGCATGGGAAAGGGGGGCCGTCGGAGGACAGGATGAAGTCGCCGGCACCCTTGGCGCAACAACTTCGTGCTCGCACAGCATCTCGGTACCCAGAGAGTCGCCAGAGTCGTTCACGTCGGAAGCCGTAACCAGCCCATCTCTAGCAACGGGCGTAAGCCCAGTGCACGTTCGAGACAGTAAGGTAGTTTCCTACCCGGGAAGAATGACTGCGGCCATGGCCTCGGCCTTCTGCTTTTCGATGCCGCTGGGCGCCACATTCCCGAAGTCCGGCGATACCTCGAGCAGGTTCACCTCAAGCTCCTTCACGTTGAACAAGATGTTGCACTCGTCGTTTTCGATCAAGAACACCGTACCCTTGAAGCCCTGACATCCGAACTTCATGCCACTGCGCCAGCCGTCATTTTCGAGAAGATGGTAAGATATACGGTACACGCGACCACAGCAACCACAGCGCCTTTTTACGAAGCCTGACACCTGACAGGTCCACGCGTCGAAGCCTCATGGCGGCACGCGTCGACGTCTCCAGGTACATGCCCTTAGATCTCACCTGGTCCACGAAGTCCCGCGCCAGCAGGCCCCCCTCGAACTCGACGCTGAAAGAGGAATCGAGGTTGTGCGCCCTCGTCCTGAAATTCATGTTGGCTGGCACCAGCCCCTGGGTCTTGATCGCGTCCGCGAGAGCGTTCATCACTTTGGCGAAAAATGGTCTTGGGAATCCTGCCGCTGAGATGCGAGCCCGCTTGGACCCTGCCTGAGAGGATGCAAAGCTTGAACCGCCGCTGGAACCGCTGGCTGTTGAACGAGAGTCGCTGGCCACCTTTCCTGAGAGCTCCTTCAGCTGCTGGGCGGTGCTGTCGGCCTGGCTCTGCAGGTGGTTAATGACGCCAGCCTCGGCAAGGTTGGCGAGCGCGGCGCTCATCACGTCAGTGGTGGCCTGGATGGTCGTCATCCTCTCGCTCATCCGCGTGAGCTTCTGGTGGTGCGAGTGAATCTCTTGCTCGAGGATCTGCACGTCAATGAGCTGCTCCTCGACGCGCGCCATGTGCCCGCCTAGGCCCTCGATGCCGGCCAGGATCTGCGCGGGCGGGTCGGCGCTGGCGGCAGCCGCCATGGGGCCACATACAAAATGAGGTGGCCGAGGGGTGAAAGTGTCTGCCTGCGTCTGACCCCTGATCGCCCTCAGAAGAAAGCTGCCGCGGTCAAAAGGGGCCCGTCCACATCTAGGGCAAAAATGGCTTGAGCCAAAATGGCTACGGAGGGGAGGAGGAGGAGGAGGAGGAGGAGGAGGAGGAGGAGGAGGAGGAGGAGGAGGAGAGGAGGAGGAGGAGGAGGAGGAGGAGGAGGAGGAGGAGGAGGAGGAGGAGGAGGGAGAGGAGAGAGAGGAGGAGGAGGAGGAGGAGGAGGAGGAGGAGGAGGAGGAGGGCAAGACGAGGAGGTCGGAAGACGCAGGCAGCAACACGAGGAAGGCAGGGACGGAGTAGATCGGGGCTGGGCCCGCCCGCAGATTGACAAAACAACCACCAGAGCAGATCGATCTTGGGAGAAGGGAAGGCGCTTGAGGTAGATGGGGACCTGGGAATCCAGAAATACCTGCTTCGAACGACCGGCGTGTGATTACCAGACTTCTTGGCGGGTGGGTACAGACCGACGTAATAGCATGGCGTCATGAATACTAAGTGTGGCCCACGTGGATCACCATTGCGCCACAGCAAGGTGGGCGGCATGGGCGTGGGCATCCCCAGTGCGCTGTGATTCGGCATGGGCGCGCGTGGAGGCGTTCGGAGAAAACCGTTCGGAGGCTATGGTACGATGTGCCTCTGCCGGAGACGCACGTCCGACCCGAACCTGTAGTACAGAGTCGTGTAGCACACCGCGTCCCGAGCGGCGCGGCCAGAAAGCGCCCGCCGCAGAGCTCAAATCAGACGATCCACAAGCGTGCGCGTCGCCCCTGCGTGGCCGACGCACCTATAGAACAAGTGTGTGTGTGTGGGTCTTGCCGAATCCAAGTTTGTGGGGGCGCTTCCCAGAGGTCAAAAATCCACCCCCATCATAACCACCCCGACACGCGAAGTCGTTCAGTCAACGCGCCCAAATAAGGAATCGAACAGGGGGCAGGGCTGCGCCCAGGGCCGTTTAAGGAACGCCATTGTCCGGTCCGGGTGGCTTTTCCTCCCTTGACTTCCGACCCTTCTTGAGCCTCTGGGCGCCTTTGGGGACCTCTAATTACCCCTGGAGGTATCAGCAGACGTCCAGACTCCCCCAGAGACCTTCGGAAACCGGCGGTGACGCATCGAGGCTCGAGATTCTAGGCGTCCAGACTTTCTTGGACGTGCCTGGGCCTCCCGGATCGCTCCTGTCGCCACTGCTGACACCCCCTGAAAAATCATAGCCAGAATGCACGCCAGCACAGCAAGGGGAAAGGGAGGCAGCCGAGACATCCGACGATGTGATTTGTTCCTCTTCCTGAGAAAGCATATCACTGAAGCTCTTGGTCGACCCCATGGCGCAATAGCGCGTCCATCAACACCCAATAGCGCGCAGACCGGACGCAACGCATATCCCTCGAATGGCGCTATTGCGCGCTACTTGGGCGCTGTTCGGCTCTCCTGGGCGCTATGTGGCGCCACTAGTTGCGGCGTGCGCGCTATGCGATGCTACTCGCCAATAGACCATCAATTCAAGACGAACGGAAGCGTCACTGACATAATTACTATCCAATCCTCCTCCTCCACCTCCTCCTCCCCCTCCTCCTAATCCTCCTCGTCATCATCTGCATCAGCATCAGCATCAGCACCAGCGGCTTCATCCTCCTCCTCCTTGACCTCCTCCTCCTCCTCCTCCTCATCATCATCATCCTCAGCATCATCATCATCATCATCATCATCATCATCATCAGCATCATCATCATCAGCATCAGCATCAGCATCATCATCATCATCATCATCATCATCATCATCATCACCATCATTATCATCATCACCATCATCATCATCACCATCATCATCATCATAATCATCATCATCACCATCATTATCATCACCATCATAATCATCATCAGCATCATCACCATCACCACCATCACGATCACCATCATCGTCATCGTCATCATCATCGTCGTCATCGTCATCGTCATCATCAGCGACAAACTGAGGAAAGCTCGTCAGCGACGAAGCCCTCGTTCAAGCTCGTTGGTGTGAGCAGTGGGCCGATCATCTCGCTGGGGATCGTCTCCCGTTCGCAGACCTCCAGGTGCTGAACGATGCCGAGTCCATCCCCGACGATTTCCCTCGAGCTGCTTTTTGGACCTCCGGTACGTCGATGCGCTGCTGCAGGCGGCCTCGAGGGCAAGGCCACGGGCCCTGATGGTATCGGACCTGCAGTCTGGAAAGCTGGAGGCGAACCAGCTGCACTTCTCGCCCAAGCTGTCTTGAATGCTACTCGCCAGTTCGGCCGTTGTCCACTGGCGCTGGAGGGCGGTCGCATACAGGACATCTGGAAACGAAAGGGGGACAGGTATTTTGATTCAGTCTCACATCGGCAAGGTACACGGTGCCACGCTGCAGGACGCCCTTGCCGAGCACCAGCCTCGAGCTATTCCTGGCACTCAATGCGATGCCATTGCTGGCAAAGGCACCTCCACCGCCGGTTATGTGGCTGAGCTGCTCGGAGTTGGCTCGTTCGCTCCGTATTTCCTTCGCTCGGATTGTTGTCGACCTGTCAGCAGCGTTTGATACGGTCTGCAGGGAGCTTGCCATGCTGCAGTCGTTCCAAGATCCAGCTGCTACCGCGCAGGCCTCGGGCGACATCGGCGTCCCCGAGCACATGTGCGGCGCAGTGCGTGATTTTATTGCTGAGCATTCTAATATACTGGTGGATGCTGGGGTGGCCCCAGCAGCTTCTCAGTTGGTTGACGACCTGCATCAAAATACTTGGCTTGTTGTCTCCAAAGAATCGCTGCGCGGCTCGTCCTCCGTCGTCCGCACCAGGAAGGGGGCTCGGCAGGGCTGCAATATAGGCGCGCTGATCTTCAACGTTATCTACGAGCACGCTGTGGGCAGGATCCGCACGCGAGCCTTCGACGCGGGCATCCTGCACGAGGTCGAGGGCTCCCAACCATGCCCGTGGACGTTGGCCGACGGCTCCATGCAGCCCGAGACCAAAGGCGACGTGCTTGCAACCCTGTGTGACATTGAGTACGCCGACGATGTGCTATTCATACAACTGCATGCGGACCCGCGGCAACTCGTGCACAAATCCCGCGTGATGTTGGCCATCATCCTTGATGGGTTCACACACTGCGGTATGGAGCGCAACCTGGCCACCAGAAAAACGGAGGTCACCTTATCGCTCATTGGTAAAGGCGCGCGCAAGGCCAAGGCGCAGCTGTTCGACGCCACTGTTAAGCGCCATGTTCTTGCTACCCCTGATGACCATCGACGTATCGGAGTGGTGAAGGGAGTACAAGCACGTTGGCACAGTTCGCACAGCGTCCGGCAGCAACATCCCTGATGCCATGGCCAAAGCATCCACGTGCCTTGCTGCCTACTATCCCCTGGCCCATCGGATCTTTGGTAACGCTGGCATCGCGACTTTGACGAGACTGAGCTTTGACGAGACTAAGCTTGGCACACTCCCTCTGTTTTTCGCGTCTGTTCTACGGCAAAGACACGTCGCTCGCCCCGCACGCCGACGCAGTGAGAATTCTGAATGAGGCAGAGCTTCGCATTCTCAGGCAGGTGGCAAACAAGTGTCGATTCCAGAGCACAGGACACGGAACTGATGCCAGCGTGCTTCAGGCGTTCCAGCTCCTCCCCACCGACTTGCACCTACTAGTGCTTCACTTGAGGTCAGTTTTTTGAGGTGGCGCAGGGCCACAGGTTCTCGTGGCAATATTGTTTTCGAAAACGAGTTTTTCGGAGCAACTGGCCTGTGATTTGCAATGAGCTCACGAGGCCTCCCCGGCACTGCGAGGTCTTCCCGACCCCTGCCTCGACCCTCAGCCCTGGCTCGCTCTGATGGGCGACCCTACTGGCTGGGCTCACGTATTGTCGCAGGTGAAGCCCCAATTCTCCAGGCTGGGCCCCAAGGCGCGCACGCCTGATTTTCACGACGCCAGAGTTTCAGATCCTTCTGAGTCTGCTCCCTGGCCTTGCATGCTATGCCCTCCGCAGCGCGAATGGGTGCTGTGTGAGCAAGGCTGCCTCGCGCTCTCACCAGCGCAGGAGCCGTGGCAGGACGAATCCTGTGCGACAGGATGTGGCCTCCGCACGCTGCCCCGCGTGCAAGAAGCTTTTCACGTCGCGGGCGGCAGCACTCGATCATGGCGCATACAGGTCGAAAGCGTGTCGCGCGATGCTGGCATCGCGTACTCCTCTGTCTCCCTGGGCCATACGGGAGCTCGACGAGGCCGACCGTCAACGCGCCCAAGAGGTGGGTGTGACAGTGCTGCGCGGCCATGCTTCCGGCAATGACTGACAGGTCTCGCTCGCACTTGACATGTTTCGTTCTGGTATCATCATAGCGTATGCTCTTAGGTCGTGAATAAAAATCATAATCAGCGTCATCAGCATCAGCATCAGCATCATCATCATCATCGTCATCAGCATCAGCATCAGCATCAGCATCAGCATCAGCATCATCATCACCTTATTCTTCATCAACATGAGTTTCGTTTTCGTCCTAATCGTTTTTCTTCCCCTCCTCCCTCTTATCATCCTCCTTATTATCCTCCTCCTCCTCCTCCACCTCCTCCTCCTCCTCCTCCTCCACATCATCAGCAGCATCATCATCGTCATCATCATCATCATCATCATCATCATCATCATCATCATCATCATCATCATCATCATCATCATCATCGTCATAAGCATCAGCATCATCATCACCATCACCATCATCAATATCGTCTTACCTTCTCGCTCTCCCCAACCCCGGGGGGCAATTTTGCGGACCCTGGCCTGAAGCCCACGACCTCCCCGGCGCGCCCGTTGAGGCTGGTCGCACTCTGCAGGCCGACCAAGCGCACGTGGCAGCCGACGGGCAGCCAGACCACCTCTAGGTCGTCGCGATACTAGAGAGCAGAAAAACGACACTCAGAATAGGCACCCAGCCAAGGGAAGCAAGCCTTTCAGTGAACGCACCCAGGGAAATAATTTAACACAAAGGACAGGGCTGTTTACTGCTTCGTTAGCGCGGAAGCGCCCAGGGCCGTCTGGCTAACGCCAATCATGGGGGTAGGGGTGGTGTTTCCTTTCTTGATCCAGAGGAGGAAGAACGACAATGGGAGCGGAGGAAGATGAGGAGGAGGAGCAACAATGGGGGCGGAGGAAGAGGGCGGACGCCCACGCCTAGCAGAAACCTTTCCAGACAAGAACGGGACGCGCCGCATCTCTGAGCTTGCGTGCGCACGCGCGCATGGATTTGCACCCAACACGCAAGTGTGCACACGAGGTGCCGTCGCTGGGCTCCCCCGACTGCCCGGATGGTTGCTAGTTGGCAGCCTGCGTGCTGGTGGCTGCCTGGGGTTGCTTCAGTCGGGTGCTGCGCGTGGCCTGTGCACGACTGCAGAACTGATCTGCCCCACGCTCGACTTGCCCGTCGAATCTGCACGCAGACGCGCAGGGTGCTCCGTAGATCTGCGGAGCACTCTGCGTACCCTTCGCTGGCTCGACGGCAAGAGCACGACTCTTGGGGCAGATCCGCTCCGTCGTCGATCCCCCTCTCGAAGCACAAGTCGGCCGCACAGCCGTTGAAGATAGTAGGCCTAGGTCGGGCATGTCCCCCTGCAGGGGGAATGTGAACGACAAATGCGAAATAGAAAAAAAAAAAAAAAAAAAAAAAACGAAAAACAGATCAAATAACCGAATAATCGTCCCCTGACTCTTTTTTATACTATTTTTGCATATTCCTCCTGTAGACAGACATGCCCGACTTCATACTAAGCCCTGGACCTTCCCCGCCGGCCGGGGCTCGGGCGTGCCCTCGCGGTCGCCCAGGCAGGCCGCGACGGGCGGCAGCAGCGAGGAGGTCGCCTCGGCGCACTCCCCGAGCACGGAGCAGATCCTGGGACGCACCAAGACAGACCAATACTGCACGTCCCCCTTGGAGGCGCACGTCCGACCCGAACAGACAGTAGACCCATCTTGAAGTATGTCGTTTCCAGAGAGGTGCGGCCAGAAAGCGCACGCCACGACGCATATACTATGAGATTTCTCAGTGCGCGCGTCGCCCCGGGGGGGGGTGGGGGGACGCCCCGGGGTATGTTGGGGTGACGCCGAGACCCTGCCTGGGGAGCAGACCATGCCGCGTCCCAGGACGGCCAAAAATCGACCACGGCCACAGCCATAGTGCTCTTGTCGAGGGCGGCAATCTCTCACCCGAGGGGCCCTGCCGAAAAAGACGCTTCGTTGTGGTTGTGTCCGCGGCGATTTTTTACATCCACGGCTACACGCCCCCTCGGAAGGGAGCTCCACTGCCAGCAACACTGGCTATGCCGTGTCCTCGGGGAAGGCTCAGAGAACTTCGCAGAAGGCTGGGAGACTTCCGAGCCTTCTGAGAAGGCCCACCCCTTCTCACTTCCCCCCCAGGCTCGCCACCGGAAAACTGCAAGACTCGTCAAAATAAGCTGACGGCTTTTGCGTTCGGTCCTTGCGTGGTCGGCGCTACTTCGATGCCGGCATGAGGTATATTTGGCCCAGACGCAAGGGTGTCCAAAGTCCAGCAGTGCCCTCACAGCATTGAAGAACACGTTTTCTGACAAGTGCCCGATGCCATCGACCACATCGATTTTGAACGGCATACCAATCTTGTTTGACGAGGCTTGTAGGGCGAGCACGATGTCATTATAATGTTGGCTCAGGATACGTTCCAGCATTGCCAAGAGTATCCAGCGGCCCTCGATTCTGCAGCCCGTGCGCGTGCGGTACACCAAGGAATCGTGCAAGTCCAGGAAACCTTCAACATCTTGGAACGCATAATTATCATGACCCCTGGCCCCTCTGAGGGATACCCACGTAGCAACGAAGTCAAGACGAGGAGAAGTCCCGACGAGGATACATCCGGAATCTCTGACAGGCGGCGGCCCTGGAGCATGCGTCGGGCGCCGCAGCCTTCTCAGAGCGCTCCAGAACGCTCTGAGAGCGCTCGGGAAGGCTCTGGAACGGATTCCTCCTCGGCCTCCTCCGGGAGGAGGAGGAGGAGGAGGAGGAGGAGGAGGAGGAGGAGGAGGAGGAGGAGGAGGAGGAGGAGGAGGAGGAGGAGGGGAGGGGGAGGAGGAGGAGGAGGAGGAGGAGGAGGAGGAGGAGGAGGAGGAGGAGGTGGAGGAAGAGGAGGAGGAGGAGAAGGAGAAGGCCCCGCCCGACCACGCCCATCCGGGAGACGGACAGGAGCGAGTCTTCCGCGAGACGACCCAGCGACCGCACGCGGCGTCCTGCGCGGGCTCGCCGGCGCGGCACGCCAGAAGGGGAAACGAGGGTGCCCACGCGCGACCTTGCGCGGACAGCTTGCGCGCCACTGTTGGTTCGGCGGCGAGCCCGGGGGGAAGTGAGAAGGAGAACTGGCCATCGCTCGGACGTCCATTCCCTGTGCTTTTGTTCGGTTTCGTGCGTGTTTTTTCCCCCAAATGATCAAGGATGCTCCTCGATGGTCCTCGCCGAAGGAAAAATGCACACGTCCGAGCGATGCCAAGAGGAGGTCTTCTCGGCAGGCTCGGAAGCCCCACGGCCATCCGAGCAAACAAAGAAGGCTCTATAGGCCCCTCCCCCGAGGGCACGGCACGGACTCCTCGGCAGGCTGGAGGGCTCCGGAGGAGTCCCGTCGTCTTCTGCGAAGGCCTCCGCCTCCTCTGTCCCCGCCGCCCCCTCGCTCGCCGCCCTCCTCCTCCTCCTCCTCCTCCTCCTCCTCCTCCTCCTCCTCCTCCTCCTCCTCCTCCTCCTCCTCCTCCTCCTTTTTGGCAGCAACGCACATTCCCCTGAACAGTGAACTGCAACAACAGCCAGAGGAGAACTGATGAAACATAATGTATTCACCTGTACTTATAACAGTGGGATGAATTCGTCAATGTCAACAAACACACCCTTCTTATCAGGGTGTTGGCCTTTACGCAGCTTGCGAATATTCTTCAAGCCAGCTTCCGTCGGGTGCCCGCGTTTGCGTCCCAGGCCGATAACTT